GCCCGATCCCATTAACTTTTCTGACTTCCGGCCCATTTCTATTCTACCATTCCTATCTAAAGCTCTAGAGCGCCTTATACACTCGCAGCTTAGCGGATTTCTGAATAAAAACTCAATTCTAGACCCTCTCCAATCGGGTTTCCGCCCGGGGCATAGCACGACTACGGCATTGGTTAAAGTTTGTGACGACATTCGCCGAGGGATGGATGGTGGGCAGCTCACTGTTCTCACTCTGCTTGACTTTAGCAATGCTTTCAATACTGTGAACTTTGAAATTCTGCTTGGGTTGCTTCGCTCTATGAATATCTGTCCATCCGCTATTGACTGGTTTCATAGCTATCTTAACGGTCGTCGGCAGCGTATTAAAATGAATGATGCTTACTCTCAGTGGAATAATATAACTGCTGGTGTTCTGCAGGGTGGCGTTCTTTCACCTCTTCTTTTTTCTATATTTATCAACACCCTGACTGCACATCTATCCGCTAGTTATCACCTTTACGCTGATGACCTCCAAATCTACGTTCAGTTTACACTGGATGAGCTTCCTCTTGCAATACAGGCGATGAATGATGATCTTGAAAACATAGCCAACTGGAGTAAAGACTTTGGTCTTCAAATTAATCCTGCCAAGAGTCAAGTCATCATCATCGGAAGCCCTTTCTTTATTTCAAGAGTCAAATGGGCTCAGCTCCCTGGTGTTTACCTGGGGTTTTCTTGACGGTGTGGCCTTGGCCCTCAATAAGACTGTTAAAAACCTTGGGGTCTTCTTCGACCAAACGTTTTCCTGGGGTCATCACGTAAAGGAGATCAGCCGTAAACTTTACGCCGCTTCTTTTACTCTGAAACGTCTTTCTAATTTCCTTCCTATCCGCACTAAAACTATGTTAGCGCAGTCTCTTCTGCTTCCTATTCTCGATTATGCGGACTCATGCCTCTGATTTGAACGAAGAGCTACTTGACAAGATCGAACGCCTGCAGAATTTCTGCATACGGTTCATATTTGGTCTTAGGAAATATGACCATGTGTCTAAATTCCGCAGGCAGCTGGGGTGGCTACCTATTCGATTCAGACGTCACGCTCATCTTCTTCAACTCCTATACTCAATTCTTTTCAATCCGAAAACCCCTTCTTATCTCAAAAATCACTTTAAATTCTTAGGTCCTTCTAACTATATGTTACGCTCTTCTAATAGATGTTTATTGGAAATTCCATCTCACACTTCATCCTTCTTAGGCAATTCATTCACGATCTCCGCCATTAAGTTGTGGAATACGCTGCCCGACTCCGTACGATTGGCTACCTCTCTGTCATCTTTTAAAACTCTTCTGTATAATCATTACTTAACCTTATCCTATCCTGATCAATCGTGACTTGTATAAATCTTATGTTTCCTTTTACATCACTATTTGCTGTCCATGTATTTGTAAGATTAGCTTTTAAGTTTTTAGTCTGTTGTTAATATTTTTTTTTGTATTACTTTAGATTAAGGTACTATGTACATTATATATTTTTTTATATAACATTTGTTACTGCACTTTTCGCACGAATCATGTTTTTTTTTAGTTTTTTCTTTAACTAGGGTTGCCTGGAAGAGATCGCTTATTAGCGATAAGGCCGCCCGTTGCATCCCTTATAATTTTTTTTTTGTATTGTGTTTGATTTATTGGTTTTTTGCAACGAAGTGTTAATAAATAAATAAAATAAATAAATGTAAATTTAGAATCAATTTAACATTTATTCTGTTGACGTTCATAAGTGTACTTGGTTACCTATATGAATAATGTTATCTTGAGTTTGAGTTAACTATAACGTCCAAATAATTAAACCCGCAGAAATTAATTTAGTTCGTTGGGAATGCATCGCTATTTATAGTGCGTCCCACGTTTCTATGATTTTAATTGTTGGTGTCTTGTGAGCTATTTTTATATTATGACGTAGGTCCTTATCAGATTCATGAATGATGGATGGGAAATTCACACGTTGGTCGTTTCCTTATACGCATATATTGCTTGCAATAATGATTCTGAGCATTTTTGTTACTAGGACTTAAATATAATATAAAAAAGGTATGGAACGCAGACAAATTGAGCAGTGTTGGCCTAGTGGTTTCAGCGCGCGGCTCTCATCCCTGAAGTCGTAGGTTAGATCCCCGGCTGTGCACCAATGGACTTTCTTTCTATGTAAGCATCTAACATTCGCGAGGGAATACATCGTGAGGAAACCGGCATGACCCAAAAAGTTGACAGCGTGTGTCAAGCACCGGAAGCCTACATATTAGATTGACAAATGATCATGAAACAGATACAAAAATCTGAGGCCCAGACCTAAAATGGTTGTAGTGCCACTGATTTATTTACAGAACGCAGACCAACTGAAGAAGAGAAAAAACCTAGCTTTTTGTTTTAAAATGATGGGTTTGTTTGTTGTAAAAGGAAAAATTATAGTTTAATAATTGTACAAGTGTTATCTACTTGACTCCTAAATGAGAAAATTTCAAGACAGTACTAAGACGGAATCCTTCTTAAACATAGGGTATTCTTTCACAGCTTTGAGCTATTGAAAATTGGGTGAAGCACAGGTTAGATACGCAGCTAATAAGGTTAAAAGGAAATGTATAAATCCTTAATGTTTAAATATTATTGAGACAGATTCTGATAATATGATTTGAGGCAAGTAGGTGATAAGCCTTCTGGCACATGTTGCCGGCCACACTAACATTCCTTCCACTTAAATTTACCAACACTATGTAGAACTAGCTGAACACTGAAGTATTTTTGAACCAATTCGACTTAGGGTCCTTCAAGAAAAGAGCGTAACAATTCTTAAAATGCTGGCAGCGCGCTTACGAGCATTCTGGCAGTGCGAATCTCCAGGGGCGGCGGTATCACTTAACATTATATGAGCCTCAAAAAAAAAACCCAAAAATCACGGGACCCGAATCAGTGACCTCAGGAATAAGCACGCTAGTAGGTACTCATAACGGTTTGCCGTTTAAATAGAAGGTTAATTAATGTTTTCTTTTACCGGGAAATATAGGAATATTCCTTATACGACTATTATTTCTTTTTCCCTCTAATAAATGTAGCTAAATGCCATGTCACCATGAATGTGATAAATTATATATTAACGAAAAATGCTGATAACAATTGTTTATTTGGTATTTCCCTATAAATCTAATATGTCACAATGTTTACCAAGTCAAGGATGGTGCGTTTAGACGCTTAGATGCTAATCAATGGATATATGTTACAAAATATATATTAGCTAGATGATAAACAGCGCTAGCGCAGGCTTACCCCAGCGATATTTATAGCAATTTCAGTATGAAGCTTTCGTAATAAAATTTTTACAAAATATGTTATATTAAAACTGAATTTTTAACATGTCCAACGAACTTTATAGTTCATACTTGGAGATCGGTGTTATATGTTGCAGAGCTTGATACTTTAATAAATTATGGTTATAGTATCTTTATTTCTGTTAATACTTTTATTTTTTTACACTGACTTTGTATATAATAAATTTTTCACCGACTATTAACAGTTACACAACACAAAATACAAGATAAAATATTAAAGAAACAACATAGAAGTAATATAGTAAATAACACACAAATTTATAAGTTATTGTCAGTCATAAATACAGATTTTTTTCCCTTTCTAGATTGCTTATGTTCTAATATAATTGATGTGTATGTGTGTAAAATTTGTAATGTCACATTTTCTTGTGTAATTTTATGCATACACGTTGTTTTAGAACTTATAAATAAATAAAAATAAAGCACGCCAAACGCCTAATGGCCAACGAAAAATTATTAGTGGAATAACGCTTTTATAGTGTTTTTTGCACTGTAGATCAGCAAGCCCAAGTTTCGGTGTACCCCATATTGGATTTGATATATGAGATGGGATAAATGTGCCTGTATTTTATGTACATAAATTGGAATTGGGATATAATGCAACTTATGATATATATGTCGCAGCTTAATAAGCCGATTCAATTAACAGTCTAGCCTTTTAACTAAACAGCGCCGTTTAACTAGCGGCCTGAAAGATATTCAGCCGTAGCGTTTGTAAGTATATTAAATAAACTGGCTGACTAATGCTTAGGTCATTCGTACGACAATGTGACCATATGGCAGAAATAAAAAAGATGAAACATCTGACATAAAAGATATTTCTTTAAAAATTAAATTGCTTGAGTCGGTCACAGCTAAATTCATATTATTATTGTCACTACTTGTACACTCTTCCCTTGTACTTGTTGTTTTTCAATAAAATTTTGATAACACCATCAATGTTGTAGTTTGCTGACGCCATATTGACAGTTTTAAGAGTTTCGTTTCAAGTATAAGAGTGGCAGAAAGTGACACTAAATTTAAATTAACAGTCAACATGCTAGACAAGTAAATAAACGTCATCGATCCAAGTCATTTGCTTAGCTGTTTGATCAACTGGCTCAATATCTTTCAGGCCGCTAGTTAAACGGCGCTGTTTAATTAAGAGGCTATGTTGTTAATTGGACGGCTAATTAAGCTAGTTTACTATGACATATATATACAATATATATTCTTCAAGTTTAAAGTAGGCTAGACAATTTAAAAGAGTTAATCTAATTGAGACTTTTGACTTGCTTTTGACACACGGTTGTCATACTTAGCGCAAAGCCTTAAAGGTTTTTCACTGCCTATTCGTAAGAGATGTTAAACTATCTCTTAATACCTTTGCTGAGTCGCGCCATTTATTAGATGTAGTATATAAATATAAAGAAACTAGTGGCGCTACAACTCTCTCAGAATACTGTATCTATTTCATTCACCATTTGACTTTATAGGCGAGTTTATCACCAGTCTCCTGTGCTTGATACATGCCTCTATTTTGGGTCATGGGTCATTAATGGCGTTAAATTTAAACACATAAGTGTTGAGTCGCTTACTTAACCACTGAACCTTTAATACAGGGTGTGAGATAACCTTTACTTATTTCAACTTGACTTTCAGATGTATGGTCGCTATCAACGCGATCTAAGTGAAGCGGCAAGAGAAGAAGCAAGACGACTGAGGAGATTACGAAAGAAACGAAGAAAAGATGACAAAATGCGACAGAAGGAGTTGGAGGCCACGGGGAAGCTTAGGCCCAGTGGGAAGGTGGTTAATTTTATAAGTGAGTATAAGGCTACAAAGACTCTGTCTTAAAATCTGTTATCATGAAACAATTTACAGAATTTATCAGTAATATCAAGTGTATAATACAAAGTGATTAAATATCTGGGGGCCCGCCAAGTCGAGCAAGAACCGGCACGGATCCGCTTCTCGAAGCAGTTCAGGCCATTTTCGACCACCTAAATTCGTTGTGGATAAAATTAGAAGCCTGAATGTTCAGTTACCAAGTTGATATGGTATATATGTCGCATCCAACTAGCTTAATTAGCCGTGCGACATACGAGTATAAACAAAATATATTAAACGGAAAACATGAGTCAAGTACATTAATAGATAACAAAAAACTGAACTTAAACATTAAACGAACGACAACTTAATATTTTAAAGAAAAAACTAGATTGTTACTACCGCTTCTTAAAATATTTCCTCACATGTTGTGAAGTACCTATAGTTAGCTAAATCCCAAAAAATGGCGACTTACGTAGATAATTCGTGTTCGTACGAAGCACATGGAACAATTGTAAATATTCAGGAGGGATTCTTAGAGAAATTAACGACAAAAATTAAAAATCATTTATTCATATAGGTAATAAACTTTGCACTTATGAACGTCAAAAAATAAATATATATGCAATGTTTCTAATTTTACATTTACTGCCAGTTCTCAAATCAAGCTGACTCTAGCTGAATGTCTACTTGACCTTGAGACTTTGAAGATGGTCGAAGCATGTTTGTCATTATATTGAATGATGTAAAGGTTGTTGGCAGGTTATTTATGGAGGCATTCGTTCGCTAAGCTGGGAGAGGACTGGTTCTTTTTAGCGGCCTTGGGTATCATCATGGGTTGTTTGAACTTCGCAATTGACCAGGGCATTGCCGTGTGTAATAATGGTATGTATTACTTGCATACATTGTTGTGTATAAGACTCCATATAAAAACAGTTTTGCTTATAAGAGATCTCTAGTAGGTAAACAGCTTAAGCATAATGAATTTAAAAAAATAAAAAAATCATTGGCGGTACGACATTTTTAGGTTTGGGCCTCAGATTTCTGTTTCTGTTCCATGATCATTTGTCAAACAAATGGGTGATCAGCCTCCTGTGCCTGACACACGCCGTCGACTTTTTGGGTCTAAGGCAAGTCGGTTTCCTTCACCGTTCGAGCGAATGTTAAATGCGCATATAGAAAGAAAGTCCATTGGTGCACAGCCAGGGATTGTGATCGGGATGAAAGTCGCACGCTCAAGCCTCTAGGCCAACACTGCTCTTAATGACATATAGAATTACATTTTCAAAGGCTGGCAACGTTCGCACTCAAATGCGAATAAAAATAAGACTAAAAAAAAAAATGGGCTGCGATGTCTGCCCTTTTTTGGGCGACCCATAGGCTGGGTTGCCTTGTCCTATAAGAAAAAAAAAGGTGCGTGTACTTATGTACGCGCGGAAGAAGTTATACTTCTTTGGCATTATTAAAAATAGTTTTTGATTGCATGCAAATAATTAATTACAATTAAATAATCAAAGACTGGAAAAAGGAGTCATTATAGTCAATTAAGTTCAGTTTACATTTGAAAAAATTAAATAAATAATTATTTATTATTATTCTCTTACATTAAGTGTAACATAAATTCTATTCAGTTAAAAGTATATATTATTATATATTTAGAAATCTCTACCAAACACTAAGAAGATTGTACTTTGGCAGTATTGCACAATATAAAATTAATAAATTTCTTTGAAAAAATAATCAAAACTCTTTATTTGTTTAAAAGGTAAATGACAAATGTCATTATGTCATTCAAAATTCTTGCATACGAACTTAATTCTATTTCTTTTACTTGAAATATCGTGATAAAAACTCCCAATTTTGTGTATAGTGCCCATTTCACTTCATAAATTTTTATATAAGAAAAATAATAATAAATGAGTTTACTACGACAAATTAGAGAGAGAGTCAATAGGTGTTTAGAACTCATGTTTCACGCCTAAATGCATATGTAGATATATAATAACATATGTACCTACAATGTACATATCTTGGTAACAAATAGAACTGCTTTCATTAATAATCCATTTTGAGGAAATAAATTGTATATTATGTATTTTTGAATTTGTCCGATGTTGGAGTAAGAATATATAACAAAACTTATTTATTGATTTAGCTTACCTAAAGGAAATTAAGGTAAGAAGACTTTTTTTAGGTAAGGTAAGGTAAGAAGTTTAGTAGTTGGGTCCTAAGCACATCGCTCTCTCTTCAATCGGCAGCTCATGTCAGAGCGTCATGGTTATCAAAGAAAGATCTGGAGCGGACTATCTGTTTCCATCAATTACTGTCCAGCGCCTTTCTTATGACAGTATACAGTTTTGAGGACGGCGAGTCTTTCACTTGATCGGTCCATCTGGTTGGTGAACGGCAACGTCATCTTTTGCCTTCTGTGTTACCAACCTGTGTTCTCCAAGTTCTCATCGCTTCTGCGCATTGTATGGACGAAATAAGATACAATTCGCTGTCGGCATATGGTAGATAGACGGAGCACATTATAGAAAAAAATAATTGTTTATTTGGACATTAATAATAATTAATTAAAGCTATAAACATACAAAATACAAATGAGCCTACATATGCTTTTAATTGCTGTTACACTTCTCAAGCTGCTAGGTAATTTTGAATAGCTTTCTATAGAATAGCAAATTTATATGAAAATATTAAACAATATGTATTATTACAGCTCGTACATGGATGTACAACGATGTAGCAACCTCAATAGCCGGAAAATACTTCGCCTGGGTCTCGCTTCCGGTCTGTTTGATACTCTTTGCAGCTGGTTTCGTGCATATAGTTGCAGCCCAGAGTATAGGTAATATATTTTTAAAATTTGTTGCATTTTTGTGAAGGAATCTATATCGTAAGGCTATATTAACGATTTTAATGTATATTAAAAAGAACGAACGTCATTTGGCATTGTTTATTCATTCATTTATTAAAGTTTACCACATTAGGGAGCGTTCAAGTATTACGTAACGTATTTTGGGGGGGCACCACATAATAGTAACTAACTAAGGGGTCACGAAACGTTTTACTATACTTAGGTACAGTACTGTACTTGGGTACTGAAAAACGTTACGACGAGTTACATGGGGGGGGTCAATAATCTCCAAAAATTGCGTTACGTAATACTTGAACGCTCCCTTATATATAATGTTATATCTACTGTATATGTTACAAGCTATCTTTTCTAAATATTACAAATATAAAAAGTAAAAAATCCAATTTTAGATTACTAATAAAATAGCGGATTTGGTATCAGATAGGCACGTAACAATGCCTTTTTTTAAATTGATCAGCCCATTGTTTACGTACAGAGCGCATTCGGTGTCGGCTCGGCTCGTATCAATTACGACTCGTATTTGGCATATAGACATGGCACCTTAGAGTTATCTATTTATCACTTAGTTGTTAAAAATTAAATTACTCTTATACGTTTTATGTTAGTAAAGGTTTGAAGTTCACTTGAATAAAATAAAATATTGAGGGTAGAACGGATGAGTAGAACTGACTGGGAATTACTAGCACGAAACTCGTCCATTTCCACCCGTTTTGTTAAGACAACAACCTACCCGTTTTGAATTCGCTTTTATTGATTTTTTTAAATGCACTATCTGAAATCGATTTCCTACAATGAATACAAAATATGAGAAGAATTTAAATAAATGAAACAGTACTTTACAATTAAAAAACAGTTTTATTTAAAAAGTAAAAGATTATTTTTCTTCAGAATATTTAAACTTATAAGTAATTAATTTTTAAATCACAACTTAGAATTATTTTAAATTAATGAAATTTAAACATTCACTTATTTATTTTAATAATAAAAATAAAATCTTCAAAAGACATTTTTGTAGTATCACAATTAATTTTAATATTAATAAAGCTCTTCTTCATTAACAATTAAGTACGAAAATTCTAGTCTTCTATAATTTAAATTCATCGTTTTCTTAATAATTAGCCTTTATATAATTACCTAAAATACTAAGTAAAAAGTAGTTATATTTGACACATTATTTAAGACATAACCTCTGACCATCTGACCACTTTAGAAAAAGAGAGGAACCTCTCGCCTCGTACCACCTCTCGAAGAGTTATTTCTACCCTCAAGTAGTAGGTAAGCAAATCGTCTGATGGACAAGCTGATCCAGTTTCAGAAGCATTCTTATCAGTAGCAACAGCTTGACTTAACTGTCTGTTCATTCCTCTTCATTTGACAAAGTAGACAACTGAATGTCAATTTCTCATCTTGTCTGGCTGGCAAATTTTCAAGATATATTTATTTTGTTTAATCAATTAACAATTTCGTTTAGCATTCATTTACTTACCGATAAAACAGTTTTATCTTCATTTTGAATTTCTCAAAATATTTACCCGGATTTTAATAGGTACTGTAGTGTGGTCTTGATTAGTATTTTTTGGTATCGTTTCCAAATGCAGTATTTACTTATGTGTCTTTATTTCATCCATTTTTTCAATGCAAATTTTAGGAAACATACTGTAGTAATGTTATGGTCGAATAGCCTCGACGACATTTTAATAACATCCAATATTTTTGATCTCATCTTTATTTCTCCAGTCATCATCAGTAAATACAATATCTGTTTTTAAATCAATAAACTTTAATTTCATCATCGGCAACACCCCGCACAAAGGGACAGTTCGCTACACCCTCCCCTCCACTCTCCACACTTCACCTATTCATGTCTTGAATGGACGCGCGGAACGCGAATTTAACTTGCAAGGTTGTTTTATTGGTAGGAACGTAGCAACGAAGCTACTTTTTATAATAAAGAACAATTTATCAAAGCGCTTTTATCCATTTACTTATTATTGCATTCGAATTAAACTAAATAAATAAAATAAAAGTATTAAAACCCGAAACCGATTTTAAAAATTAAACCCGGTTTTTTTGTAATCCTCAGAACCGGGAAAACCCGGGTTTTTTTCGTCGTAAACCCGCTCGATCCCTGGGAATTACTACTCCATCACTTTGTAAGGAGCTGCAACCATCCGCGCTCCTTATCCCATCTTGAAGCAATTAATTATACAACAACCAATAACTTAAAGAACGGGAACAAATTTTTGAACTGTTATTTAAATATCCGTGAAGTTATTATGATGAGTTAAAAATATAATGGGCAGTTATTTTTTTTATTGCTGGTTGGTAAATTTGTGCGACCGTAAAACATAGACAGTAATAAAAAACAATTGGCCAATTATTTCGTCTTAAAATGTCGGTACTAAAAATACGTAAGCAGACTAGTGAATATATGGCCGGTAAAAATGATGGGCAGTTCAATAAATAAATCGGCAGTTAGGTTAGGTTTAGGATGGACCACTCGTAACTGCTCATTTAGCTTCACTGCTCAGTATTATATGCTCCATTTTAAAAGTTTTTACGACTCATTTTTGTTTACTCTATGCTAAGTTTTAACTGCCGAACTTGTGCTAAATATGTATTTTGTAAGTTTCAACTTACCAAATTTTTTTCGTTAAACGGAGAGAAGAGAAAAAACATCAAATTTAACCAATTACAATAATTTATATATACATACTAGCAGACTAGTCAAGCGTTGCTGTGGCTAAGGTTTTAGTTATATTACATAGTAGTAACCTATTCAAGGGAAACGGTAGGAGAACACCAGTCATGGGGACCACCATGTTTTTTTTGGTGGTAATGCCATTAAATTGTAGCTTATGTGAAACGTTGGTACTTTCAACACAGCGCCATCTGTTAGAATTATTATTAGTTATTAATAGATTATTAAAAAAATTACACTTAAGTATGTTGTTGATGTCTAAATATGAAAATATTTCTTCGTAATAGAGAATGGGTGGTACGTTATAAAGAGTGAAGTAATGTAAAACCAAATTATATATTTTTTTTATTATTTAATTTATATAATTTAAATTATACTATATATCTTTTTTAAGATATAAAGCGTGTACACTGTATATACAACTGCCGCGTTAAATTGGTGCCTTAAACAGCGAGTTTAATAAGACGAAGTACGCTGACGAAGTTTTCTAATATTATTACCTTATAATACCTGTCCTCAGGATCTGGTATTCCTGAAATGAAGACAATACTCCGAGGAGTGCATTTGAAGGAGTATCTCACATTCAGAGCACTGATCTCCAAGTGTGTCGGTCTGACTGCTACTCTGGGAAGTGGATTGCCGTTGGGAAAAGAGGTAACGAAAGTCTTTTTTTTAAATATATAGAATACAATTTAGAAAATATTTTCTGGCATAGATTTATAGGGTATCAGAAATATCTAATAAATTTTGTAATTTATTTAATTATTGGATAAATAATATTATTAATAATGAAATATTAACATTTCTTTACCTGATGCAACTGTGCGAACTTTACGCATTCATACTTGAATTCGTAAAGATAAATATATACCTATTATCCAATCAGTGATGCAGATATGGATATAATCTTGGGGTCATTTACCTCTAAGATGTCATAACCTGCTCAGCTGATTATTAGCGATATTATTTTCGTATGATGTATTTCGTATATTAAATGAAGATGTATTATTTATGTTACTTATGTAATATGTATTGTATGTATATTTTCTAGTTATGTTTATACAAAGCTTCTCTTTGAAAAATTTTTTTTACTGAATCAATAAATTTACTATATAAAAATATATTAAATTCTCTGTATAGATTCCGTTGTCAATTTATTCTATTGACATTAATAGGTATTTTTTTAATGAAAAATACTTATAAAGAGTTAATACTTAATAATATATTACTAAGAGTCTGTATGCGAACGATAATTCTTAACTCACAAAAAATATATACTTTTATTTTATTAATATTATTTAAGACGATTATTGCAGCTATAATGACGTAACAGTGTTGTCAACATAAAAAAGGGAATTTAGCACTGCTGCTACCTCACGACTGTCTTAGCGCACAGAATATATAATATTATTAAAAAAAAATGTTTAGACAAAACAGACAAGTGTATCTTTGTTTTGTAATTATGTTTTAAATTCCAGGGTCCCTCCGTCCACATAGCTTCAATGGTCGCATCCCTTCTATCTAAAATGGTGACAAAAATCCAGGGAGTTTATGAGAACGAATCTCGTACAACTGATATGCTAGCCGCCGCCTGCGCAGTCGGTGTAGCTTCGTGCTTCGCTGCGCCCGTTGGAGGTAATCACGAAAGAAGCAAACACTTTATTTATTATCAGGAAATAGAAACAACGACCAGTCACTTTCCGTGCGGCTTGATCCCTTGGCGTTGCTTAGAGATGTGGGGTCTCTCTGCATCTTCTACTGCATTTAACATGCAGAGTATTTTGAGGAGTTGTTCGGACTAATACCTGCAGCTGAGTTTCATCATCGGTCGTCAAGGCAGAATACAAAATACCGTATCACCCCAACGTCCGTCGTTCCACTGTTTTTAAGTTGTTGTTGCGCACCACCACTATGTGGAACCAGCTGCCCACTGAAGTATTTACGAACCAATTCGACTAAGGGGCCTTCAAGAAAAGAGTCGAGGTGATAAGGATGGTATTTTGTCTTCAAAACCTATTTAGTAGCAAGCAAACCAGAACGTTCAACTATGATATATAAATAGCTGTAATTAGTGAAGCCGGCCTTGTTACAAGGAATGCTCAGAGCCAGTTATCTCTAGATAAATCTGTGCAGAACCGCACATCTTTGCTAATTAATTGCGTGTAATCATTATGGTCGAATTAATTAACATTCATATTGTTAATTTTTAATATAAATTTATGTAATCCATTTTTTAATTATTTTAATTGAATACGAATAAATTTTATAGTTTTGCTTTGAATTGTGAAAGTACACTATTTCGCTTGCTTTTAACTGTAAGATTAATTAGCCTCATTTGAGCTACCGTTATTCTTGAGGTCGAAGGCTCCCCGGCTGTACTCCAATGGACTTTCTTTCTATGTGCGCATTTAACTTTCGTCGAACGGTGAAGGAAAACATCTAACAACATCGACCCTCAGTCGACGGCTTGTGTCAGGCACAGAAGGCTGATCACCTACTTGCCTATTTGATTGACAAATGATCATGAAATAGATACAAGAATTTGAGGCCCAACCCTAAAAAGGTTGTACATACACTGATTTATAATGATTATTTTTCCGACCCAAATATCGACCAATAGAATTGCACCATTCGACGTCACGTGGTACAACCTACATGGTATTATACTGATAATTTTTTGAAAATTTTCTCTGGTAGTTGCTTCAAGAAAAGTATTAAGTAGTTGTTTTATTCATTATGAAATTCTTATTTGTTAACTGTACATTTCGTCTCATGGTGCAATTCTATTGGCCGACATTTGGGTCGGAAAAATAATCCCCGAATACCACCGAGCTTCAAAATTATCTGGCATTTCCCTCAAGGTTCCCTGCAAACAAATAAAGTCGTCAAGTTTTTCAGGTTAAAAAATCACGTGATTTTTTAACCTGAAAAACTTGACTCCTTCATTTGTTTGCAACGAACCTATCGGGAAATACCCGATAATTTTGAAGCTCTTGTGGTATTATAAGTGAAAATTCAGTACGAATATGAACAAAGAGAAATGCACGTTTGAGCTTTTAAAAATTGTGTATTCCCTAATGGAATAGATTTGATGGAAAACAGTCTACCTTAGGAAAGAGTTATATAATTATATATATCTCTCTCTAGATTTTTCGTATCGGATTATCTACGTATTAAACGTTATTTTCTACACTTTATATATTTATGTATTCACAAAAATACATACACTGACCTTACAGTACTAAGCCAATACAATAATGTCGAAAAAAATAGAAATATATTAAAATACTCAATATCGCTACTGTGAACTCTCTCTGCGAAGATATAATGAGGTGTCGGAGACCAAGTAGAGTACTGTAACCAAGTATAGTAAAACGTTTCGTGACCACCTAGTGACTCTTTATACCTAAAAGTTACCATTATGTGGTGTAAAGTACTGGAAAGTCGAATATAATATTAACAATAACGCGTAATTCAATCCCTGCCCCGCACCTTAACGTTTTGCACGCGTTACTTGAACGCTCCCTTACTATTTGTAACTAGGGACTCTAGTTACTCTCATTAATTACAGCCCGTTCCCACTAGTCGAAAGTCGCATAAGACTAAAAGTCGAATGCTCCGGTCACCATACACTTTGTATGGAGCTGTTCACATTAGATGAGACGCGACTTTTAGTCGAATACGACTCAAAACCCCATCCGACGGGCCAGCGCCCGTCTTAAGACTAAAAGTCGCGTCGAATCATGCTCGCATAGGTGCCTGCTTGTTGCTGTTCACACTAGTCGTGCGTCTTTACGACTCGAGCGCGTTGTTACCTCCCTCCCCGCCCCGTTTCCTAGACACACATTCCTACACATTGCTTGCTCACTCCATTCGTGTTTTTTTGTTTGACTTCCCAAAGTCGATCTTTCTGTTAGGATTGGGTGCATCCAGTATTTTCTTGGAATTGAAATTTTTTCAACTTTTTAATTTTCTTCGTAAGTAGTAGAGCACAACAAGTTCTTCGTCGGCGTCCATGTCGCGAATTCGCTACGTACCAGTGCTTCCAGATCCCAAAAGTAAAATTACAGTGTTGTCAGCTAAAAAATATAGTAGTTTCTTAAAACAATACAGCAGATTCCAAATTCGATTACAGTAAAATTACAGTAAAAGTTTGTTTAAATATTAAAAGAAAAATAAGATGCAGTATTAATTTATTTGTAAATACATATAAGTAAGTTATTCTAAAATAATTTCCTCATGATTTTGATAAATTTTTGAATTCATCTTTAAAATCATTTCATTAGTGGGATTAAATTTGACGCAGTTTTCAGAATTTCGACGAATGGCTTGCTGAGCTCACATATTTCCTTTAATAGTATTTGTGATCAGACAGTTCCTCTGCTTGGTTTTTATATTATTAATTTCACTAAACTTGCGATCGCACTCAGCGTTTGAGTGAGGCAAAGATAACACTTGCAGCATAAATCGAGGCAGCAAATGGAATTTAATGTCTCCATTGCTATCTTTCATTTGAGATAACTGAAATAAAAAACAAATTTATGAAATGTGAACATAAATATGTGCAAAATTATGTAAATTGAGTTCTTATATAATTAAATTTTACCTGATGCCAAAATAAGTCTGCTGGTTGACTTGTAAGTTGTATTCCAATGTATATCATTCGCAATAAAAATCAAGTTTCTCCATTCGTCATCTAACGTCTGTTGATCATTTAAAGTTGGGGATCAGCCTTGGTAACACTGGGTACAGTGAAGACAAAGACTGTTCTCTATTATCTGATAAGCAAGAATCAGGATTCAACTTTGCGATTGAGCTCAAAACTGGGTCATTTAAACTGTATCTTTTCCGAATGCCCACGCATGCTTTAACGATAAAGTTGAGGCATTTCTGTTTCATCACTGTAACTTCTTCGGTATGCGCATGTAGCTCTAGGACAGCAACTTGATTAGCAACACCCAATCCTAGGTATATATCTTCCAGATTTATGTAATGTTGACTATTAGTAGGGTCAATTGCGTCGAGTGGGGTGTTTTTAATATAATTTGGAGTTATGAATAACGATAACAGTTCTCTGTATAGCTCAGTCATTTTGTTATGGGCTTCAATAATAACGGGATCTTCACTTTGAAAGAAAACGTTAACGCGGGTAAATTTTGGCAGCATCCAACATAAAAAATAAAAATATGCCTTGATGATGGGATCATTCAAAAGATTGTGAATGTCTTGGCAATCCTGTTCTTCTAGCCATTTATCGTCATAATATAATTGCAAGGCATCCCATTGCTCCATGATTCTGTTCACAACACTGGACAGCGACAACCAACGCGTTTGAGCTGGACGTAGAATTTTGTGAATATTAGTGTCCGTAAATACTTGAAATTCTTTTAGCTCTGCTTGACGTTTGTTACTATTTTTGAAATAATTGTAAATCAATCGAGTCAGTTTTTCTGCATCATGAGGCAATTCCTTACAAGCGTCTGAGGCACATAAATGTAAGGAATGGCATAGACATTTTAGCACGATAATACCTGGGCACAATTGTCTAAACCGTGAGGACACTGAATTACGACAGCCCATCATAGTATTACAGCCATCTGATCCAAATCCGATCATATTTTCTAAAGGTACATTTCCGTCTTGAAATGATTTTATTATTGAATTAAATAATTTTTCAGCCGTAGCTGAGTAATCACCAATCCGTCCAGCATTAGTATCATTAAACATTTGAATAAGATCCCAGAATCGACTTACTATTCGCCCTGAACTAAGATCATAATATTTGACTACAATACACATTGTTTTCACACTGGCAACATCGGTACTTTCATCTACCATTATAGAAAACTTTTCGCGTTTCAAATCTGCTACTAAACATTCTCTTTCAGAAGCTCCGATGACGTTGTTTACTACTGCTTGTAATTTAGTATGCTTAAGATTAATGTTACTTGCAATTTTAGAATCTGGGAAAATTTTTGGAAGTAAATCAACAAGATGGTCCATCACTATGTGGGATATTTTATGTTCTGCCATAAAGGCCGATAATTTAATTTCCGCAATTTTTCGTCGCTCATCATCACTTACACGTTGCTGACTCTTAAAAATATTATCAATGGTACGCACATACGATTGCCCAGGAAAACGAAGTTTATGTTTAGCACCTTCACCGTGTCTTTTAATAGCACCTAGATCGGCAGTTAATGAAGAATCGCAGACAGTGCAAAAACATTTATAAGCAGATTTTTTGTCAGGTTTTAGCCACTTATGAAAGTCTTGGATTTTAAGCCATTCCTCTCGAAATTGTTGCCGATATTTCTTTTTTGCACTTGACGGACCAGCAGCGCCACGATCATCACTTTCTTCACTACTTGAGCCCATTTTTACAATTATATAGTTTTGGTTTAATTTACGCTATCCACAAGAATTAAAAAGTCTTAATCTGAAATAAATGTATTTGCTCGGCGCTCGCTACAGTAGCAAAGCAATAAAACCATACCAATCAAAACGTAATGAATGAGATGGAAAATACAATGTTGCTATGTCAGACAGAGACGGTTAGTTTTTGCTAAGCGTTAGTTCTGATTCATTGGGGAATTCCCCGCACGTAAACTATAATATGTAGGTAACAATCCTACTCTACATTGTCTATAGATGAAGGTCAGTGGTTCTGGGTTCTAGATTAGGTTGCAAATTTATATTTCGTATTTTCTAATACGTAAAACGTATTAAATTTGATAATTTATATGAACTGAAATTAAATACAGTATTTTCATACACTGTATTTTTATCATTACAGTATACAGTAGAAAAGTCTAAAAATACAGTAAATCTACTGTAATTACAGTGAATCTGGAAGCGCTGCTACGTACCGAATGGCGCGAAACTACGATCTATACGACTCGCGACGCAGTGTGAACAGGGACATCAGACTTTCGACTTTTAGTCTTATGCGACTTACGACTAGTGGGAACGGGCTGTTAGGGATCGAGAAGACTTTCTACAACCGAAACGGGCTAGTTTGTAACTTGTATTAAATAAGTTTTTATTCTTGTTTACAGGTGTGCTCTTCTCAATTGAAGTAACAACGACTTATTTCGCGGTACGAAATTATTGGCGAGGTTTTTTTGCCGCTTGCTGTAGTGCTATTGTAAGTAATATCATTAAAAACTTGCTGTGAACTTGACAGTATGACAAGTATAAAATTGAAATACGCGGTAATTTATCATAATTTTATAACTATTTTAAATTATTAGATAACCCGATGACAAAAGATAGAGCACATGAAATGTCGGCATGATTTTATAATTTTAAATTCATTATAATTATAAAACTTTAATTAAACATGATGATATTTTATTTTATTATCTGTTTCAAAAACCATTAGTTTCTTTCCAGTTTGATATATTGTAATAGTATTAAACTACAATAAATATTTATATATATACATATATATATAATATATATATATATATATATATATATACATATATATATAATGAATGAAACTCAAATGTGATGCTGAAATATGTATTTTAAGAAACTACATTTAGAGTTTGTTATTTTACTTGAAAACAATCACTTTATATCCTATTTCTTTTATAATCCAAAAAATTCTAACATAAAATATTTAAATTAAAATTTAAACGACAGGCCAAAACTACCGTCTTTTCCACATACTAAGAAATATAATTATTTCTTTGCATATATAGCTCTCGTGTCACTTTGCATGCATAATAATAATATATGCCAGTTTAATTTCCAATCATTACTAAACTAGAATATACAGCTTAGATTTGTTATTACATTTTTTCTTATCCTATCTTAGCTTCCTTCAGTAGGTATCGTTGATCGGAACCCTTTCACGGGTAAAGGCCTCCTCCAACTGTTTCCAAATATCTCTGTCCATGGCTTTCTTTCTCCATTCTCTTCCTGCTAACGCTTCTATTTCTTCTACCCACCTTTTTTGGGGGCCCTCTTATCCTTCTTCTCCTTGGTCGGTCCTTTCCTTGGTCTTTAAAGTCCACTTTGCATACATAAATATGGCTTATAAACAATAAATTTTTTCAGATGTTCCGTCTGCTATCCGTATGGTCAGGCGCAACTGCCACAGTGAAGCCTCTGTTTCCAACAAGCCTGCCTCAAGACTTCCCCTTTGACCCTCAGGAATTTGCCGTATTCGTTCTTTTGGGGTAATTAAGTTCTATATCAATAGCTTTCATAATAATCCTTTAGAGCAAGCGTTAATTGGAAAAACGATTTTTTCATTAGTGCAGTCAGGTTTCGAATGCAGGACCTTAAGTTTAAAATATTATTCTTTATTCATTGCTTTACTTGGTATCACTATTATTTTTAATTTTATCCAGAAAATGTGGTAGGTAGTGTTTGTACAGGTTGAAAAGTACTAAAATTTGGCAATTTTTTTTTTCTTTTTCTAAAGCGCTTTTGTATTTCATTATTTTAAAGTTTAATTAAAGTTATTTTTAAAAAAAAAGTCTAATAAATATAAAAAAACTTTTTTTTTCAGGATAGTCTGTGGCCTTATGTCGGCACTGTGGGTGTGGCTGCATAGACAATATGTACTCTTTATTCGTAACACAAAATATCTGAGTTCCTTCTTACAGAAAAAGTAAGTAAATAATAGAAGTAAAAAAAAGTCTATTAACTATCAAAGTTTTGAGTTTTTACTGCTAGAAAAAGGCTTCGATGGTAGAAATGCATTCTGGTGCGTTAGGGTATATAGTTGACGTATGGAAATCAATTTGATACAAGACTGACAACGATTTTTTCTCCCTTTTTTCATAGAAAAAAATCAATTATAACATTGTTTTATCTAAAGTACCTAAGTAAGTAAGTATTCATTCTTTGGTTATATCTTTAGTATATTTTTTTGCTATAAATAATGTTAGTTAGCTGTACGTGTACGAAATAAGTAACTATCACAGAGTCAATATTTATAAATTATTCTTATGCCCTTATGTGCCTTTAAATATTCTACCAACTTCGCCCCTTTGATTTTCATCATTTCACTGTCATACGTTTATAACAAGTCACAGTTCAAGGAATTTGCGAAGCTTGGCTCCAAATTGTGTAACATTTTATTGGATTTAGTATTGATGTATTTTTACAGCCGTTTCATCTACCCTGGCTTCATGACATTAGCAGTAATGTCCATACTGTTCCCGCCAGGTATAGGAAAATATATGGCCGGAGGACTTGGGACTCCACCACAGGTAAAATAAATTACTAAGGAACTAAGCTATGTGTTGGTCTAGTGCCTTAAGCGTGTGTCTCTTAACCCTAAGTGAGGTATTCAAATCACGGAAGAAAAACATGGCGTGGGGAAACTTAAAAAGAAAAAAAAAAATTTGAGGCCATGAGCTCCTAGGCATTGTGTCCATGGGCAATCAGCACTTAATTCTACGTTACCCATTTGCTTTATTGCCTCGTGTTATAATATAATATGCGTGTTAACCCGATTTTAAAGTGTTTTGGTATGTTTTTTAGGTGTCAGCACTATTCGCGAACTTTACGTGGTCTGACGAGCTGACAGCAGAACAGGCGGCGATCGTCTCCAACTGGCAAACACCTGAAGTAGACCACTTCGGTTGTCTCATCATTTATTTCTTTTCTATTGTAAGTAAATCCCCCCCTTTTTTTTTTTTTTATTTTTTTGGGTGCCTTTTTTTTTCCCCCCCCCCCCTTTTTTTTTTTTTTTTTTTTTTTTTTTTTTTTTTTTGGGTTTTTTTGGGTTTTATTTAGTAAATCATTTAAATTTAGCGGACATAAAATGTGCCTGAAAGTTGGATTGTTTTTTGAATCTCGTTAAGAGAATCTAATTCTGACAAATCAAATCAATATTGAAATGCGAGGTTCGCTTTAATTAAAGCAAAATTTTAAAAAACAAAAATGCTCGACGAGGATGGGATTCGAACCCACGCGTGCAGAGCACATTGGATTAGCAGTCCAACGCCTTAACCACTCGGCCACCTCGTCACGTCTTGGCTTCATGAATATATTAATATTATTACGTTTCATGAGATACCGTCAGAATTATATAAAATATTTTAAGCCTTATAAAACGTGGTTAGTAAAGTTGTTTCTATGTGTTCAACTTGGCAACGATTAAAAAGTTAAAATTAAACGTTTAGATACTTAATTAACTTTCTGGACATTTCATTTTTTAATTTTAAAAAAAAAACGATTGCCACACAGTAAATAAAAGTGGAATGTAATAGGTTCCAAAAATGCAGTTATGATTAGATCAGGACCCATGGCATATTATATTATAGCAATAAATTATGATTTTAATTTCACATTCCATACCCATAGGGTCATTAAAGAAAAGCGTCACAATTCCTCCTTATTAATATTAAACAAATACACACACACTTAGGTCCCAAAGACAACGAGAATCCTAAATATTTTAATCACTCAAAAAACGACGAGGATGGGATTCGAACCCACGCGTGCAGAGCACATTGGATTAGCAGTCCAACGCCTTAACCACTCGGCCACCTCGTCTTATTCAGTATACCTCATTTACAAAGCCACGCTTAATTCACACCTAATTTACACAAGTGTTTACCATAACCAATGATTTATAGGCATGTGATGTATATTGAATAGATAACGATTATATATTCCACGTCACCTTATATGAAGTCTTGTGACCCAAATGTGTCTGTAGTTTTTTGGGTTGTGACTGACTCATGACGGTCATTGATCGTAATCGTGCTGGCTCTCTTGTTTTCCTTCACCGTGCGTTTATAAAAAAATATTCAATTTAAATATCAATAATGAGGAAAAAACGTAAATGAATATTTACTGCCAGTTCTCAAATTAAGGGCGTAGAATGGACGAAAAGAACTGGTAGTCTCTCTTTCTCTTCTCTTAACTCTCTCTGTATGGCTGAGCATAATTGGTTTTACAAGATGGGCTCCAATTACAGCTCCACACAACATGGATTTATTTAAGTTTGAAAAAACAAACGTTGTTCCGGTATAAGCATGGTGAGCATGGTGATATAGAAGCACAAGCATCTTACAAACGTTTTGTAAAAAAAAAATAGCGATTAAAAGATGCAATTTATTCCAATTCTTCTCTTCCTTCTACCCCTTTTTGAGAACTGCACTAAATGAAACTAAAGCAATTCATATCAGTTTTTTTTTTTGACGATATAATTAATACTATAATTTTAATTAACATCGTGAGGAACTGGCATGTGTCTTCTAATAAAAATATCAACGATGATGCAGAGATCGGAAGAGAGTAGCGTTGCGTCTAGAGTCTAGTTGTTTATTCTCGAAGGATCTAATTTTACAGACTTTGACATAGATTTGTGTATATATGTTAAGGGTTCCTAGAGTGCTTCCTAATATCTTAATATCGTCTGTCCACGAATTTCGGTTGGGAACTAACAGTAATTTTATAATAATACTAGCTGACCTGACAAACGTTGTTTTGCCATGTATATTATTTCTAATAAAGATTGTTTTAGTTCAATAAAAATAACTATCTGCTATAATAAATAGGGTGGATCGTAGAGGGGTGAAAATTAATTGTAGTATTTTTGTTAATATTGAATCAAAAAATAAAAACATTTTTTTTTCTAACAATAAAAAAATGGGGCCACCCTTTTATCACTTAAGGGTTTGAAAAATAGATAGTAGCCGATTCTCAGACTTACTGAATATGCATAAAAAATTTCATAAGACTCGGTCGAGCCGTTTCGGAGGAGTATGGGAACAAACATTGTGACACGAGAATTTTTATATAGAGATTGATTTGAATGAACAATAGTCCAACTTCGGTAACTGCCCAAGTGTCATGAAATTCGGTTTCAGTATTTGAGATATTCACGTATTTTTGGAGGGGAATTGTATATTATCTGGACAATTAATATTGACAAGTTTAATTCTTCTAAATTACTTTTATTACAGTATTTCCTGAGTATGGTGTCATGTACCTTGCCAGTGCCGGCAGGTATTTTCGTACCAGCATTCAAAATGGGAGCGTCTCTTGGCCGCTTTACAGGGGAGGTGATGCACTACTTCTGTCCTCTGGGTGTCGCTTATGGTGGTAGAATACAGAAGATATTGCCTGGTAAGTCATCATCAGTATATATACGAAAGACAGTATTCCTTACTTGTAGGAATACAGTTTTTCATTTACCCATGGTGTAGTATTGAATGTTTTTTGGGATTTTTCAAATGAAACATCATCACATGCTTCGTACAAGGATCCAGAAGGTCTCTGACAAGAAAGTTCTTAATCGAGATGGAATGTCGAAAAAAATGCAGAATATTATGTTTAATATCAATACGGAAAGTTGTGCGTTGTACCAAGACCACGTGTTGCGCCATTACCTACTGCTACCACCTCCTTCAATTAATTATTATTAAAATCCAGGATAAATGGCATGTTGGTAGAAGGAAAAAAATCATGGCTCCTTCTTCATGTTAGGGAGTGCATGGGTATTGCGGAAGAGTTGCTGCATCTGGCACAGGACAAGACACTCTTCACGACACTGACGGCTGACCTCCAGTAATGTGTTTTAGCTTTTCGGAGAGATTATTAGAGTGAGAAAACAGTTGAACATTTAAAGGTGTAAAAAGTCTATGAAGTATGATGTAATCGCACTTTATATTTGCAGAAACCTGCGGTGACTTTCGCTGGCTTCTTGTACATTTTACGTGAAACAATATATAAGGAAATGGTTTTCAGGTGGTTACGCGACGGTAGGCGCTGCGGCTTTTACAGGTGCAGTTACACATACTGTATCTACAATCGTGATTATTATTGAGATGACCGGACAGGTTTGTTGAATTTCTATTATTATATTGTTTCGTATTTCTAAAATCTTCTCATGTGAGCAGCGTTGCCCTAGTCCCTGAGGTCGTAGGTTTGATGTCCATATGTACACTTGGACTTTCGTACTATGTGCGCATTTAACTCTCGCTCGTACGGTGAAGGAAAACATCGTGAGAAAACCAGCTTGCCTTAGACCCAAAAAAGTCGACGGCGTGTGTCAGGCACAAAAGTTGATCTTGACTTGCCTATGAGATTGACACATGATTATGAAACAGATTAAAAAATCACAGGCCCCCCCTAAACATTATCAATTGAATCAAATATATGTATAAGAAAGGCATAGAACAAAGTCTTTAAAATTCAAAGTAGATGAAATCTAAACAGGTTTCTATTCAGGTCAAAGTCAACTCCTACTGACTCTCCACAGATAACGCATCTCCTACCAATAATGGCGGCAGTCTTATCAGCTAACGCGGTGGCTGCGATGTTACAGCCATCTTGCTTCGACAGTATTATATTGATCAAGAAATTGCCCTACTTGCCCGATCTGCTCTCATCTGCCAGCCGTAAGTTTTGCCTTTATATAACTTGGACTAGAGACCACGTTTGATCTTTGTAAATGTTTTTCATATAAAAATTTGATAAGGGACTAACGATACATAAGCTGTACGGAAATAAAAAAAACATGAAATGTATGTAGCAATTAGTTTAAGAATCTTAAAATGAAACAATATATTAAAAAACGACGAGGATTTGAACCCACGCGTGCAGAGCACATTGGATTAGCAGTCCAACGCCTTAACCACTCGGCCACCTCGTCTTATGAAATTATCAATTAATTACCTAATATTTTTTATACCTATTTTTTCATTAACATTGGAACACAATTTATTTCTAATAATCATATGTATATAATGATTCGTTATAAACTGCTAGCTAATGACATCGTAAAGGTTCTTGAACTTAGTTTCTCCTCAATGTGATTTTACTTCGCCTACCTTTTTAGTACATACCAACATGGAACATTTTGCTATGCTAGCCCAGAGACTGTTCGGTTTTCCGGAATAAAAACTTTTTAGGTTTTTCTGTGATTTATCTATATATAAACCTCAGAGTTCAAGTTATAAGTTGTTAACTAACAAATAAAAAATAGGAGTTGATCGTAGAGGGCAGATGCAAATTAAGGGTTGTATGTATTTCTGTATGCTCTATCATAAAAAAATAAAACAAAAAATGTTCTCTAAAAAATAGAAATAAAAATTTAGGGGTGGACCACCCTTAACATATAGGGGTTTGAAAGATAGATAGTAGCCGATTCTCAGACTTACTGAATATGCATAAGAATCGGTCCAGCCGTTTCGGAAGGGTATGGGAACGATATCAATGAAAGAATAACTGTTTCTGATAAAAAGGATTTATTAAAGTCTAAATTAAGAATGTCCCCCATGCTATTTAAAGGATTACGGGATATAAATGCTCTATTATTTATGGATATAAAACTAGATCCTGTTCAGTTAAAGCGACATTAATTACGAATTCATAGTAAAATTTGCGAGCCTAAACATCTCTTAAAATTTATCAAACTTCAGTATTAAACTAACTAACTTCTACACGTGCAGCCTATGGGCCAGTTTTACTCGACAAACATACAACTCGCTTCGGGTGCAGTATAATAACGCATTTAGGGTGTTGCTGGGGCTGCCTCGCTTCTGCAGTGCATCAAGAATGTTTGCAGAGGCGCGGGTGGATTGCTTTTTCGTCACTATGAGAAAGCGGTGCGCTTCTTTGGTACGCCGGGTGCGGGGTAGCTCCAGAAACATCTTACGGATGATAGCCGAAAGAATGGAGTGCCCCTATTTACGACACTGCTCCGACATCTCCACAGGGCTTTGTACCTGATAGTTTTTATTTAACTACTTTTTCCTTATTTTTACTAATTCTCTAACATAGATCTAAAGAAACTATTGTTACTAACTCACTAATCAATCAATGGACTGTATTTGTCTGATTAATAAAAATTATTATTATTATTATTAAAACTAATAGTATAATTAGTCGACGTGGCGTTCATTTTTAAAACACAAGGTTGTGTGACGTAAGTATGAACTTTTATATTGACAGAACATATACGGTGCAATTGACGTACGCAATAAGGTTTTATTAGAGCCAATATGATAATGTCTTGTGTTTATGGAATGCGTTTGTAATTTATGAATGTTATCTAGATTCTAAGTAGATCGCCTCGACGAAAACTTGTTTTAATATTGCACAAGTTTACATTGTTGTCAAATGTCATAGTTTTTTTTAATTGTCTATAGATAAAATTTAACATTACGATCTAGCCTAACATAAGACTAATAAGTAATTTAAATCTACTTATATTTACTAACATGTATACACGCTGTAAAGCACGCGAAACGTCGGATAAATTTAAAATTATGTTAAATAGTTGTAAATTTATAATAATACATAACTTCAATCCGGTTAAACAGTTTTTTCTTTAAATGTGTAAAGGTTATGTAAATCAAAGACAATACTTTATGTAATAATTTTTGCAGGTATGTACGACATTTGTGTAGAGGACTTCATGGTTCGTGACGTGGTTTACATCTGGAATAGGATGACCTTCCAGCAACTAAAGGATGTTCTTAAGACTAATAAGGTGAGTTTAATACTAGAAACTAGTCTCAGTACTTTGTATTTTGTTTAGATCAATTGGGCAGTGTTGGCTTCAGCGGGCGACTCTCATCCCTGAGGTCGTAGATTCAATCCCCGGCTGTCTACCATTGGACTTTCTTTCTATGTGCGCATTTAACATTCGCTCGAACTGTGAAGGAAAACATCGTGAGGAAACCTGCTTGCCTTAGACCCAAATAGTTTTATATATCATATATATTAATTATATATGAAGAAGTAGAGTCTAAAATTCAAGAAACATAAAATATGTATATTTTTCCAGACAATTAAGAGTTTCCCTCTGGTAGACAGTCCATCATCCATGGTACTCCTCGGCTCTATACATCGCTGGGAGTTGGTCAAAGTGATTGAGCAGCAAGTAGGTAGGTCTAGGAGACTGCAGATAGCCGCCCAATGGCTAAAAGAAGCCGAAAGGAGAAGGGAAGAGGAGAAGAAAAAAGTTAGACGACCTTCACGATTTGAGGTGAGATAATCAGATTAGATTGTTCTAGGTTTACGATGAGAGTGAAGTAATATAGGTGTCCTATAAATCAACATTACGCCAAAAATCGGGTGATAAGCAAGCTACCAGAAATATGTAAAAAAAAATTTTTTTGCTATTTATTACAAAAAAGGAAAGTTATACCACTGAGGCTTTGGGTATAAATGCGCCATAATTTAAGGGACAACCCGTATAATTTAAATATTATACAGGATGTTCACTTTCTATGTTATATTTGATTATTGCTAAATGTTATGTGATAAAATCTCATTATGTTGTAAAAAATTATACACTAAGAAAATATTGAACATTTAGAAATTTTGTTAATTATAAAAAACAAAATAATGTTTTAGGAAAATCGAACTACTGAACCAACTTTGTTGAACTTTGTACCGTTCTGATATGACTTTTTAATGTTTAAAGAAATTTGTCCACAAAAATCCATGCACTCACAAACATACGCTATAATTAATTCTAAATATCTTGAAATATTAATTCCTAACCAGCTCGTGACTTATTGGAGTTGATTAATTTTTTTTTAAAGATAAACTATAATTTTGTAAATCCTCAGGTTACACCAGCGCCTGATATGCTCCAAGTTCCTGGCTCTGGAATGACCAGAGGCACCTCCCTTACATCGCAAGACCAAAGCGGTCTTATACCTGGTTAGTACTGTCTCTACTATTAATTTTTAGCGAACATAATTCATTAAAAAAATTAAATTATAATTGTTAAATCAAATATTTTGTTATTATGTTTTAGTTAAATTAAATATATAGGTGCGCGTACGACGCTCAAATCGTCCGTTCGTGGCGATAATATATTTTCCTATGTGCGCATTTAACGCTCGTGATGGAAAATATCGTGAGGAAATTCCCTGACACCTAAAAACCGATGGCGTGTCGGGTAGCGTGGACAGTCCCTTATGCAGAGACTCTTTCAGCGCAGAGAAATCACTCATCTACGTAATCCTGCAATGCGTGGCTCGTAAAGCGTGGTCGCTCCGTAAAGTCTACGAAGTGCCCAGCAAACTTCTGAGCTTCTGGAAGGAGCTTAGTTAGCCAGGACTTTATGCACGACGGACCGAATGGGCCTCTAAGTGCGGATACTGTGTCCACGCTACATAGAAACATAGCGTGTGTCAGGCACAGAAGGCTGATCACCTACTATTACATTTTTTTATCTCGAAACAGAAATAGGCTGAAGTTTTACGACATTGGTATCTATCTCTTTCAGCTCCAGGCCAGCTCTTCCGACCGAAGTCCATATTGAAGAAGACAAATTCGTTTACTCTTACGCGAGGTCTAGCACCTCCCACGCCCCAATCTACGTTGCCACACCCCTCTGTATACACTACTGTGACTGGCGCTGAGACCAGGTAATACAATTTATAATTTACACTTCAAGCTTTCAACTCTTATTTATAAAAAATATGAAAAATTAAGTGTTATTGAGTAATCTGTGTAAAACAAGATTTAATAAAGCTTTACTAAGCTTAATTGATTTATCCAACAATCCATAGTTAACAATATTGATTGTATACACAGTCACGTGACACATAACGGTCGTGTAAATAATGTCAACGACTGTCTGTCTAACATTGCTGTCTAGGAGGTTGATTTGGTCGGTTTATTTTTTTTTAAATTTTTTTATACTATATTTATTAATTTCAAAACCACTATTTAAATAATAATAATTATAAGCAACGTAATCCGATGCGAGCGATGAAGAAGTGAGGCCGACCACACCGCGTCCAGCTGAAACCAGTTATCATTCACTCCTACGCATCACTTGAGATTTTTCAGCGAAATATTTATTTGTCTAATTTAAAAATGGTTCTTAACACGTCAAAAACTTTGTTTACTTTTTTAATCTATTTATTTTACAGAATAATATAATAAATCATGAAATGTTACATTAGGATATCTGTGGCATGTATGTGTACGTGTTTATTGTACGTCGAACTGGTGCGACCCCATCTTCCCTAGAGAAGCAAGAAGAATTAAAAAACAATTTGTATAGGTTATATAGTCACTAAAAAATTATCTGAAATGGTATAAAGTTTTTAAAGGCTAAAATTGGTGTCCATGGGCTGCAATGGCTGCCCTTGGCCATCCCCGTAGGTTCTGCCCTCTATGCTATAAAAAAACCACGGGTTTCACTCCGGGAGTGCTGGCAGAAGTGAAAACTTGAATATTAACGTTGTGCATTAATGATATTTTGGAATGGTTAGGGAATAATTTTGCACGAATTGCTTTAATTATCAGTATAAAAGTACTATCATTTATGTGGTAGAATACAATATTTATATTACAGTAAATACGCCGCGCCAGAATTTTTAGGTCACGTGTCCTGACGCGAGTTTAACATTTTTTACCCATTCCAAAAAAAGTGTACAACGCTGCTAAAGAAGGTTTCACTTCAAAAATCGTTATTAATTCTTGTCAAATAGTCTATAATAGACTGATTATAGACTACATTTACACTAAAATCTAATGATATATTTCAGAATACGTGCAGCATTCGAAGCCATCTTCAAAAGGTCCACTCTTTTACCAGATGTGGAAGGTGGATTGTCAGACCAAATGGGCAGTTTGCAACGCAGTCCCTCTATTAACAAGAAAGTTCAGTTGGTAAGTACTTTGTGAAGAAATTGCTGCCTTTGCCTGCAAGTTATTGTATATTTCATAATGCTAATATTACATATAAAGCAGTGTTATGGTAGGGTGAGATTCAATAATCACGTCGTGCGTTTAAAACCGGATCCTCTAAGCGAGAAAGTTGACAAGTGTCTGACGCAGTGCTCTTCCCTTTTTTTGTGTTGTTTCTCTTTTTTTTAAATCTTTTATGCTGATAACTTACCTGCTAAATTTATAGTAAATGTGCTTAAAGTCCCTAGCTATACTTAATATCATCAAACTGATTTATTTATTTACAGCTTGGGGAGTGTTACGTAACGAATTTTGGGGGTCCTTTTGTAAAATGTTACGATGCGGGGCGGGGATTAAATTACGCGTTATTGTTAATATTATTTTGACCTTTCCGATACCACCACATAATGGTAACTTTTAGGTTAAAAGTCACTAGCTGGTCACGCGACTACAGAAAAACTTACGACGTACATGGGGATGTTCTAGTGTTCTTATCTCTTGTCCTTGCCTTAAGCCCTCTAATTTTACCTTGGTTTCTAGCATCACCACATTGGACCTGACCTTAGGGGGGGGGGGGGGGGGGCTTTTTTCTTATCTGCCTGCCTCACTTTCGTTTCCCACGAAAATTTATAAATTTTTCATAAGGGCTTTACAAATGTTAAAAAACATTTTTTCTGATACTTAGCCTAGAGAACGGGTGTGTGACATGTCGCCCGAAGACCAGAAGGCTTGGGAGCAACTGGAGATGGCCAGAGAGATCGATTTTGATAAAATGTTACAGATTGCTCGTAAACGGGATATGGTAAGTGAAGTTTAAGTAGAATTAAGGCTGTGTTGAGAAAAGTTATGTTTTCAATAATTTTTATTTTATTTTAGTTCTCGTTTCATGGTGGGGATGGCGCCATTTATCTGGCTGTTCTACGTCTTATTTTTTGTCATAGCATATGTTCATAAGTCCTGAATGTGTATTTAAAATGAAATTTTTATGCGCAACCACCACTCCTGCGCATTTTTACATACGCGAACTTTCCCTTACAAATTTTTGTCAAATGTCAAATTTTCCCAAAAATGCAGTCAAGATTATAATAATCAAAAATTCTACTTAAAGAAAAAACGTGCATTTAAGTGAAAACGAAAACGAGACTCATCGCTAAGTCTAATTCCCGTACGCCAAAAATGTTTTGGGTTTCGACATGCGATAAGTTTCTGTAACGCGATATTAAATAAAATAAATCAGTGGCGCTACAACCTCCTTAGGTCTGGGCCTCAGATTTTTGAATCTGTTTCATAATCATTTTTCAAACTAATAGGAAAATAGGTAATCAGATAGGCCCGACTTCTGGTCTAAGGCAAGCTGGTTTCCTCACGATGTTTACCTTCACCGTTCGAGCGAATGTTAAATGTAGACATAGAAGGAAAGTCCATTGGCGTACAGCCGGGGATCGAACCTACCACTTCAGGGATAAGAGTCGTACGCTGAAGCCACTAGGCCAACACTGCGTGATATGTTCATTTGTTTTGAATATTCCAGAACCCTGATGACACGGACTATGAAGATGAAACGCTATATCTATGCCATATTGACCCTGCGCCATTCCAGCTTGTTGAACGGACTTCCTTACTCAAAGTACGTTATTAAAATTTAAATATATTGTTATCTAATTTATATATTACTAGTGCCCTGTGGTTCCACCCGCATTAATTCGATCGTAGCCCGATATTCTACAGGCTTCAGAATTGGTTTTTAAAATTTGGGAGAAAATCAAAGGGCGTGGATTTATATTCCTCATAAAAGCAACATCATCACGAAATTATAATTTGTGATGAAATATTTAAGAAACTATACATGTTTAAGAAACTCGATATTTGTATGAAATATTTTAAATATATATTTTCAGGTACATTCACTGTTCTCTACGCTGGGCGTAAGCAGAGCTTATGTGACGGCCATTGGACGACTTATAGGAGTTGTGTCGCTTAAAGAGGTTCGTTATAAACCAAAAATACAAAATAATAATAAAAACCTCATACTGATAACCCTACCTGCATATGATATTTCGGATGTTTGAAGCTGCTTTTCGCAAGTATATGTCCACAAATGATACATATTAATCAGGTATATTATCAATTTTTCATTCATTCATTCATATCAGTTAGTTTTTCAAAATCGATTCAGTGATTTGATTTGGCTATGCACGTATTTATATTTTTCCTAAATTACTTTTCATAAATTTTATGTTAAACACGGAACGAAGTATGATAGGTAAAAGAAGATTAATAAAACACACTATTAAAAATAATAACCAAGGTAGCAAATACCACAATGAAAATAAATAAACTTAAGTGTAAATGGGCGGGGCACTTGGCAAGAGGAATAGAAAAGTGGAAGGTGGTGCTCAAGATAAACGCAAGAGAGAAAGACAATTTAGAAGGTAGATAGAACAGCATGTGGTAATGGCAGAAAGTGGTCAGTGCAGACAGAAATTGCGGGATTTAGATGAGGCCTTGGTCGAAAAAGTGCACACAGATATTTAGAAAGAAATAGAAATTTATTTAAATGTAAAGACTCTTAAATAAAATATTATATTTTTTTAAACACTTAAAAGTTGTGGTATTCCTCTGTAGTGCATTTTTGGGTTGGATTAGCTACCTTAATTTTATTATAAAAATATAAACACAAAAAATAGTGTCTACATGGCAAAACAGAACATTTTTGAAAAACTAATTAAAATAAATTTCTTGAAATTAAAATTCTTTCATCTTAAGGTAGGAAACCAAAGTTAAGGGTTAAAGTAACTCTTACTTAGCGAGTATTCGAACAGACAGTACTCGTGACTTACATGAGAACAATCACTCAAGATCAACATCAAATTGTAGCTCGTTGCTTAGAGTACTCACAACAAACGGTCGCGTTTTTCATGCGAATCATACTGTAGAGGTTCAGTAGTACCCGTTAAGCACATCGCGAGTGATCTTGATTATAATTATATAGAAATTGTGTTTTTAAGGTACTTTTGGTTGACATTAAATTCAACTTAGCTTCGAAATCGAAATGCGTACAAAGGTTTTATACTGAAGTAATATTTTTTTAATATCTGCGGGAGTCTATATACCATCTCATACGCCTGTGTTTTTAAACAATTTTTATGCCAGTAACATTTCTTCTTCTTACTTTTCGTAATTTGGATGAAACATCATTCCAATGCATAATGAAAGATATCAGCACGTCTCGTGTTGGCTCGTGAACACTGGACTAAAGTGGAGAGAGAGTTTTAGAGAATTTTACGCCGATTTTAAGAACACATGTGTTATAAGCTCGATGTAAACGCTGGTTGAGATGTACATTACGCCTTTGTAGTCGTCGATAGTATTTATGGAAGTCGACGTTTTCATCGTGTGTCATACAAAATCTGTTCAAATATATTTCCTTTATACAGTAATTACATCAATACTTAATATGTTTAGGACAGTTAAATTTATGTAAATATCTTATGTTTCAGCTACGCAAAGCAATAGAAGACGTCAACTCTGGTGCGTTAACACCGGCCAATCGGCCATCACCGCCTACAAGTCCATCACCGGTGATGATCAAAGTGCAGTCATTGGAACCAGCACCGCCAAGTGATAGTGACACAGCGAGACTCACGAAATCATGAAAATAATTTATTGTAAGTTAGGTTTAACTTATGTTACCTCAAACTTATTTTAAACTTACTCTTATTTCCCTCATTAATGTTTACTTCTGCTCAAAACTTAGGGTATGACTTATCTTTCAACTTGAGTAAAGGTTTCATATTATCGTCGACGCATTAGTTAGAGCAGTGTTGTCCTAGTAACTTCAGCGTGCGACTCTCAACCCTGAGGTCGTAGGTTCGATCCCCGGTTGTGCACCAATGGACTTTCTTTCTATGTGCGCATTTAACATTTGCTCGAACGGTGAAGGAAAACATCGTGAGGAAACCGACATGTCTTAGACCCAAAAAGTCGACGGCGTGAGTCAGGCACTGGAGGCTGATCACCTACTTGCCTATTAAATTGAAAAATTACCATGAAACAGATTCAGAAATCTGAGGCCCAGACCTAAAAGCGGTTGTTGCGCCACTGATTATTTATTATTATAGTTGACGCATTATGAACTGAGGCCTCGGGTTATTATAATAGAGAGTAGTGATGTGCGTAAGAATTTTTTTTGGGGTCAGTTTTCAATTCTTTTAAAAACCGAAACACGTTGTGAATTACAGCCCGAGCTTGAGGGTTAAGGTACGGTTTCCTAGAAAAGCGGTGCCGTTATCTAACGGCCGTAATGTAACGTTGGCAGACGTCACCCATGTCTATAAATAACATCGGAGTAGGTTTTCTAGAGAACGATGAGTGTCACGGCAACGTTAAATAGCGGTCCTGTCATTTGAATGACGGCCATCATAGCGATGATAAACATTAGTTCGTTTTTAGCGTGTAGCGGTGCCCATATTTAATTAATACAATGAGTGGAAACGTGAGTTGGACGAGCGAAAATGATTGTTAGTTTATTATGTTAAAAAGTAAAGACCGCCTTTATGAACAACCGTAAAAATGACGGCCGTTAGTTAACGGCACCGCTTTTCTAGGAAACCTAAGCTTTAGTGACTAATTTCTAGAAAACCACGTTAGTAAATAAATTCTCCATTGTGCGTATTGCGTAACGAAGCGTAAGTAATGTAATGAGTGTCATAACAAAAAATCTTATATTTATAGAAAAACAACAACCCAACGACCAATCAGGTGTCAGAGCGCGTACGCACCTAGAATCGATAACGGGTTGCAATGCGTGCACATTCCTACTGTAAGTAACATTTATTGCGACGACTCAGTTTAAAATGCGTCAACTATAACGGATAATTAATTCATATTTAAATTCACCATAAACCCCGTTATTGGGTTATTTAGTTTAATTAATGTCTCTAAGTATGGGTTACACAATAACTATATATTTATCTTTTCAGAAATGGACAAAGTGTCGCAAATTCCTACAAACAGTATTTTTGATAGTCATTTTCTATTACGGTGCTTTCATTAGATATTTATTAAATATTCAACCGTTCGATTAGTTAAAATACCTATGTAAAACTCAAAATAAATCATCAGGTTTTTGTCGAACGGTATTTTCGGCAGCATTTAAAATATACAATTCAGTAAATATATGGTTGTGCAAATTATTCTTGCATTTGAAGTATTAAACAAGCCGTTACGCGGACATATATAGTGGTACCTCGAAATACGAGTTTAATATGTTCCGTAACTATGATCGTATGTCATATTGCTTGTACCTTAAAGAAATATTTCCCATTGAAATTAATGCCAAAACACCACCTCAGTGGTTTTAGTTCAGTGTTTTTGAATATGAAAATGATTTTACGCTTTAAATCAATATAGACATCGTCTTCTTCGGACCCATTGGGGCCTGCAATTTATCTGGCAAATTAATATAGCAAAGCTCTGTAAAATAATAATTCATAAACGTATTAATTTTTTATAGGAATATTCGAAAATGCATTTCGTTTTCAAGTATAGACAATGTGTAAAAAAGTAAATAATTACTGTTGACGTAATCACCAAATGAAATATGTGTGTCTTTTTCCGTCGGGTCGTTTACCAAAAATTCTATAACAAAATATATACAAATATGTTAGGGAGGATTATCAAGGTACCACTGTAATATGGAAGCATTATTTATATTTTTTAACATTCTTAAAATGTTAGTATTGTTAGAGCTAAATCCAATATTTAAACAACTTGTAGTATAAACATTTCCAAGGCTTGTGATCATAATAATCATTCCAAAACATTTAGTCGATTAGTCAACAATGCAATGAGTCAATTTTAGGTAGATCTTATACAAATTGTGTGTTAACTGTGTATGCTTAAGCATATAAAAACTATTTGAATTGTGCCATTCCTTCGCGATACGAACTATTTTACTGTTATAGTGAAAGGTATAGACTATATAGTTATATATGGTGCTAATTTTGTTGTTTAATATTTGCTTTTTTTGTTGTAAACATTTTTTGTTACCAAGGTACTACTACAGTACAAGGAAAAATTCGTAAGGCACTTTAAATTATAGAAATTTGTTTATAACTGTGTCATTTTATGTAATAGTTTTATTCCAATAAGCATTGTAACTGTGAAATAACCCGAAAATCATATATGCATATGATTTTCTGGTTATTTATGTATATTTTGTTTATTTACAAAAATACATACACTATCCTTATAGTAGTAAACCAATAATGTACAAAATTAAATATAATAAAATATACAATATCGCTACTGTGAACACACTCTGCATATAAAGATGTCGATAGTGTCGGCAGCATTCAGTATGCGCAACGTCTTTGTTATATGTGCAACAGACTGGTCCTGACCCTTGGTACAGATACCGGCAAACATCTTGAACATAAAACAAGGGAGTTGGGAAAGTTTGCGCAGCGCGGAACACAAGCGTCAACTGATTTACCAATCACGTGAGCCGCGCAGCACCGCCCGCCGCCCCCTCTCCCAGTGATACCTAAAAATCGCTTCTGCGCAGGCAAGGACATTTGTTCAAGATGTTTGCCGGTATCTGTAATATAGTATATAGATCTTATATTTTAAAATAAGGCTGCTAAATTTGAGATTTTTAGGTAAGAATGTTAGTGTTTTCGAATTAGCACCAAGAGACGTATATGTATATATTTGCTTATATTGGCTTATTGCCATTTCTTACGCTTTACATTATTTGGCTGGCGAAATATTTATTACAATATAGTGTCGCAAAAAAATTAAGGCGCTTTTTGTCTTCGAGTGTCTAGCCTATATGAAGTATTTATATACAGGATGGTCCAACTAGTGAAGTCAATAATTAATAGATCCTTCACACCTGGGGGTGTACGAAAATATCCCTTGTATGTTCCGCGATACATTACATACGGCAGAAAACATTCAAAAAACCCAAAAAAAATATAACTCGAAAAGGAAAAAAAAATATTGCCGTCATTAGTTGGGCCACCTGTATAGGAAGGATCCTAATATTATTTTAAACCCGATTTTAGACCACTCTAAAACCAGAGCATTCCAGAAAACGTAATTTTTTTATCTACTACATTTATAGGTATTATTGGTTTGTTTTACTGCAAAGTATTTTCAAGTAAATGTTGTTGTAATTATTTATCACTTCACACAATGTTCCACAACTGCCCTGCGATTCTGTAACTCACTTTTTGAACTCACACAGTGGTTTTCGCATCGGCGGTCGCTCTCAAATCAGTGAGTTACAGAATCGCAGGGCTGAGCGTTATTTAAACCGGCTGTCCACTGAATTTTTTCCGAACCCATTCGACTTATTGTCCTTCAAAAAAAGAGCGTACCAATTCTTAAAAAGTTTACGCAATCGCGAGCTCTCTGGCATTGAGAGTGTTCATTCGTTAACATCAGATGATCCTCCTGCTTGTTGTTCTATAAACTTTTGCTAATCTTATTAAGAATTGCAAATATTTTCATATTATGTCAGCCAAAACATAGTTGTAAGTATAGACTGTTTAATTTGATGCATTTTGTGATATGTTGCTTTTAATAAAGTGTTGTACGTTTCTCTGTTTATTATTTATATTTAAATTTAACCATTATATAAGTCAAGGGCCTTGCTATGTAATTTTTTGGATTATTATACAGTATTGGTATGAAAAAAGGGTGCATGTACTTATGTACGCGCGTAAGAACTTATACTTCTTTGGCATTATTAAAAATAGTTTTTGATGCATGCAAATAATTAATTACAATTAAATAATCAAAGGCTGGAAAAGGAGTCATTATAGTCAATAAAGTTCAGTTTACATTTGAAAAATTAAATAAATATTTATTATTATTCTCTTACATTAAGTGTAACATTAATTCTATTATTATTCGAATGTTGTTTTTGAATTATGTCCAATGCCGTAGCATCTTCCGTGGGCAACTTCATTCTGTTAATTTGCGCGCGCATCGTAAAATTTCACTCTCATAAATTTTTCATAACGCGCCTAAAGAAGTATAACTTTAAAAAATAGTTTTGCGGCTAACATTTTACATCGGAATATTTTACTCAGTCAGAGTTTAATTCAAAGACATCTCTCAAGAATGAATATGACAATTAGTTTGCGCATACCAGGTTCTATAGGTTCGTCTGCTCTATGAATGAAAGATTTTTTCATTGAATGAAAATAGTAAAATATGTATCTATGTGTACACTTTAAGAAATTGTCATCTCTCATTTTCATATAAATATTTTGCATAATGGTAAAAGAAGAGTTGTCAAGTTTATTTGTCTAAATTTATTATTCGCAAATACTGTTACCAAATAGAAAATACATTGGGAAATTTGGTAAAGGAAAAAATACGCAGTAGGTACTTAAAATTATTTATTCTCACTATTTACTTAGAGCTATAATACTAGATCGCTTACATAATATTTACAATTTTAATATTAAGTACAGATTTTGTAATATTACTAATTAATTAAATAATGTTAACCGCAGAAAATCCCCTAGGAGTTAAGTCTCTTTTCATCACAGCATAAATAACATTTGACAGAAAGAGACGAAACTGATGTGAAGTGAATTAGATTTTATGAATGTTATTACTAAATTGGAAGTATTTAACGTAAACATTGATATAACTTGTACTAATTATTTCTGATTCACAAAATTCATTTATTGCATCACCTGACCGACTGAACTACAGATAATCAATATTACATAAACCAATTATTATTTACTTTGAAATAATGCTTACATAATTCCCAAAGGGGCATTGTTAATATAATTTTACCTATAGCCTTAAATCAAATGTTTTGTCTTTATCACTCTCGTCACAAATAAATGTGACAAAATATTCTAATTTGGTTTTAAGGTAATTTGGTATTCAGAGGCGTAAACGTATTTAAACTCAATTCATTTTTGACTAACATTATTTGCACTCAGCGCTTATCTTAAAAAAAAGCGTATAAAAGCGTCGTTTATAGTTCTTATGAATACGACCAAAATTTTATTATTTAGGAAGAGTACATTTATTAAGTTAGGTTCTATTAGATTATATTATATAGATAAAATACTTCCAGTCCAAATTTGAAATAAGAAATAAATCGTCACCCAACATCACGTCATATCTGTATATACGTATGATATAGATTTCATAACATTTCACGATTCTGAAATATTGTACCACGATTTGTCACGCAAAGATGTTTCATGTTTTCTTAGTAAATATGCAACTCCACGTTATCTGTGCCATTTTAATATAGATTATAATCAAAATCCACATATAAAATCCATAATTCATCGATTTAAATGACTTGACTATATATAACTGTTTGAAATTATTCAAATCAAACCAAATATTATCTATTTACTTATGAACGTCAATTGAAAAAAATTGAAGATCATCAGTTTCCAAATCAATAACGCACAAGCTTCAGTGGACTTATTGGATCATCATAATAATAACAAAGTTTCAGTTTACATATACGCGCCTACAGAATATGAGCGGCTTAGAGTATGACATTTTTGACATACGAATGTCACATAAATCTCGACTGAGTCTGTAGGTGATTTATTAGAACTTGAATATTGGATTAATATCTTGTGCGTTGTGATATCATATTATATCACATGATATTTTAAATAAACATTTTAAGTAGATAAATAATTACTTTTGACAAATTTACTTACTCACGTTTGCGATAAATCAAATTGCGTTGATATAACTAAGTCAAGGTTAAATTTATATCTAAAGAAATATTTACCTGACAGACGACATCACAAGTAGAGGCTTAAGTTAAGTTATAATTTCAGAGTCGGAATGCAGTTGAAAGCACGCGTCTAGGCACTATGCTAACACAGCTGCTTAATATATAAATGTACTATTACTATTTGAAGACAACAGGTATGAGAAACCGTAAGCAAAAATGTGTGATTATTCAAACCTTTCAATTACTTACTATAAATAAAAACGAAATATTCTCTAAGTATCACTACATCACATAGTTTTCCTAAACGATATTAAATTAACTAGTTAAACCATTCAAAACCTAAATTACAATAACTTACACTTCATTCTAGTTAACCTAAGCAAGATTCACATTCATACACAAAATTACATTTAAAACTAAACAACTATGTTACATGGACAACGCGATGTCTGTCCTTTCCCAGATTTTTCGTGTAAACAAAATGGCAACATTCGGGACCCTGAGGGACACCATGTGCATACTAATATTAAGTGCACCGTGACCAGACCATGGCCTTTCATAACGTCGGGCATATGTACAACCTGTCTAAAGACTGGAGAATAGTCAATAGTCATCCGTATGAATGAAAATGTGTTGGTTGAGTATTTTTAAATAAACGATGGTTACTTTACGTGAACATTTTGAGTATCACATACACCCACAAGATTCTACCACCATATTAGGAAGCGTCTTTTGTGTCACAGTGTTATTGGAATCCATGTAGAGTAATTGTAACGAACTAAACGTTGTTGGGGCACAGCACGGCTTGAACTCTGCCCTTTTATCGTTCGATACTGAATAGAAGTATTTCTGTAACAAAAAAATATTAAATTAGACAGGACAAGAAAATAATAACATGGCCGTGGCGTAGATCAAAAGTAGTACAGTGATAATTTCCTTATATATATTTTTACTAGCTGACCCGGCAAACGTTGTAACTATCTACTATAATAAAAAATAGAGGTTGATCGTAGAGGGGTTAAAATTAGGGGTTGTATGTATTTTTGTTGCTGTATCATAAAAGAAATAAAAACAAAAAAAAGTTTGAAAAAATAAAAAATTTAGGTGGACACCCCTTATCACTTAGGGATTTGAAATATAAATAGTGGCCGATTCTCAGACTTACTGAATATGCATAAAAAAAAGCATAAAAGCTAAGTGTTATGGTCAATTGACTGTTAACTTCTAAACAGGTCTGAACTGTCTACTCACCCTAATAATATTATGATGATAACTATCCGCTTTAGTTACAGCAGAAATTGGTAAACACGAGCCTTTGCAGAAGTAAGCGTGGTATCCTGCTGGACGTATGATCCAATCATCCCAACCCAGTTCCCGGAAGCTGACGTATAGGGGCTCCCGGCAACACTCACTGGTATTAGACCCACACTCTAGTGCGCGCCCCTGGCGACGCTTACCAGCGTATTTAGTGTATAGAACTAAGAATGGGCGATGTTTCTCGTGAAAGGAGAGTGGTGCTCGGCGCAACTGGAAGAAAGACATCTCATTAAACGATTTTTTTTAGTATTAGATATGAAAGATAAAATACAAGATTTAATGTGACAAACACATAGGCAAATATAACCAACACGAAGAGAAAAAGAAATATCGATTCATAAATTAATATAACTTAAGGAAAATTGACTTCAACATTTGAAGGGAGCTACTGGAAATCCAAACCTACATTGTTTATCAGTATCTAGAGGGTACACTAAATTTAGTACTAAGATTAATTTAATCACGTAGTGTTTTACGCGGCGATTTTTGCTACCAAGAAGAGTTCTATAATAATTTAAAAGCGCTTGTGAGCCTTTAGTTTTCCAAAAATAACAATTTTCTTGTAAAGAATCTCATATCAAAACCCCAAACTAACCTGACAAGTTCTGCACGCAACATGCAATGTATGGAGCCTCTCTCTGCCCTCCAACCAGACCCTGACTGCCCACGCCAGTTCCACACGCACCCAGCCCTCACCAATATCCGTCTCCTTGATGGCGATTGGTTTGGTCTTTTTGAATTGCTGTTGGCTATCCCAATGGGCTGCCTCCGATATTACAAAAGTCTGGTTGTATTCGTCGAAGGGGTCTCGCTCCTAAAAAATATTTTCTGATTTAAGTTATTGAATTGAGGCCTGGATTTCTTGAAACACCTGTCTTGTGCATATTCAAATAAAATATTTTTGAAGTTATACTTCTTTTGGCGCGTTAGGCAAAAATGATGAGAGTAAATTTTTACGATGCGTATCTGTTCAAACGTCGGTAAATCAGTCTGGGCCGCTGGTTAGCGCTTGCTCTGTTTTATCGACATTTTGCATTGTCTGTTATGGCGTAGTGTTTTTCAGAGTCGTTTTTATTGTAAAATATCATGATTAGTACATAATATTATATCGTTTCGATTGGAAGTGACCATTAAAATGGACAAGAAAATGGAATTCGAAGAGGGAAACGTTCCTCTAAAGTTCTCGAAGAAAATTATAACGCCAAAGAAGTATAACTTCTAACGCTTGTATATTTTTATTTTTCATATAAAAATTAATAGTTATCCTTATCATGTATGATAGATGCAGAGACCTGTTAACGATTAGCGTTGTGATTACCGCATCAGCGCAATTTGAAATATACACGATTAACTAAGCGACAATCACTGTTTAATTTTATTTAGTTGAAATTGTAAGTATTTGAGAAATATAAAAAAAAACATACCTTATAAAACCATAGTTCAACAACAGTCACTTCTTCTGGTTCCACGTCCGGCGGAAGTTCGAATTGTAAGCAGGTGAACGGATATCGGCCGGAAGTAAGACACTCCCCTGTAACAATGATATTACAATAAGTCAACAATTCTCAATCGCTTCGTGTGTAAAATATTCCAAGACAAATATAAAAAAAAGTGCGTGAGAACAAAGTACACATGTCAAAAGTGAAACTTCTTTGGAAAACTAATTTTTACCTCTTATTCATGTACTTATACAAATCTAAAACTTTAGATTTCCGAGGCTTAGAGGGAGGGAAAAAGGAAGATGTGTGAGGAATTTAATTGTCATTCAAATTATAAATTTAATTTCTTTGACAATAAAAACACGTGGCATTTTAATTTACAATTCGTCATTGGAGATTTCAATATTTTTTTTTGCATAAAATACTAATATGTCATAAATTCTCTTTACGAAATTTTAATTTTAAAAATAGAATTTCTATAAGGTAATTCACCCTTCGGACGATCTCTCATCAATCGCTCTCCCTTTTCTTAGATAAAAACGCTGCACATCTTCGTGACGTTCCGTAAAAATATTAACCTCATGCGCCTACAGAAGTTTCACTTCAAAAATACTCTAACAAAGGTTATTTTTATAGCTTAATAGAGATCATAAAATAACCCTGAATTTAAACTAAAGTCTCTAGAGCGATATTTTGTATTGTTTCGTAACAGAAGACTGTTTTTTGACATTTACTTTACACAAAAATCATTAAAACCGTTGATATATATATGTTTACTAGCTGATCCGGCAAACGTCGTTTTGCCATGTATATCATTTATAATAAAAAATAGGGGTTGATCGTAGAGGGGTGAAAATTAGGGGTTGTATGTATTTTTTAATGTTGTATCATAAAAAAAATAAAAATTTATCTAAAAATTAAAATTAAAAATTTAACTAAAAAAAAAAATTAGGGGTGGACTACCCTTAACATTTAGGGAGATGAAAAATAGATGTTGTCCGATTCTCAGACATACCCAATATGCACACAAAATTTCATGAGAATCGGTCTAGCCGTTTCGGAGGAGTTTAACTACAAACACCGCGCTACGAGAATTTTATATATTAGATTAGTTTGGCAATGTTTATTTTGTTTAAGTTGTTTATAATCTACGCAATTCCAAGTCGGTTTTAAACATCAACTAACTTTTATTATTAAACAATATCACGTCTTGAACTCGTGCGCACGTTGACACTGATAACTTTATTGCGCCTATATAAATACGGAAGAAAAAGTAAACATGTAGTTCCCAGCATGTATGTTGATAATTTACATACTGACGTAAAGTTTACGCATCCTGCAAATGGATGGTTAGATGCAGGTTAGGGAGTGGTAAATTCAAAACCAATTTTATAACGAATATTTTGATTATTCGTAAATATAATACATTATGATATGAGCTAATTGTTGCTGAATACTTTTTTTTATTGCACGAGAGATTATTTAAAACGTTTTATATAATCAGTGAGCAGTGGTCTAGTGGCTTCAGCGTGCGACTCTCATCCCTGAGGTCGTAGGTTTGATTCCCGGCTGTGCACCAATGGACTTTGTTTCTATACGCGCATTTAACATTCACTCGAACGGTGAAGGAAAACATCGTGAGAAAACCGGCTTGCCTTAGACCCAAAAACTCGAAGGCGTGTGTCAGGCACAGGAGGCTGATCCTACTTGTCTATAGATTGACAAATAATCAGAATGAAACAGATGCAGAAATTTGAGGCCCAGACCTAATAATTTCGCGGTTTTTCTCTTAAACTCGTCAAGGTATAAGACGCTCCATAAATCTAGAACGCACCTATGAACTCATTAATCAAAAATATCTCACAAATCGGTTAAACGCATAACAGCTAGTCGCTTATCGGACGCGGCCTTTGCGACGCTCCTTGGTCCAATTAGTGAAGGGTCACTGTGTTCACAGACCCGTAATTAAGATCCGGATCGTATTGTAAAGTATTTATAGATATAGTTAAATTAAATAAATACATATATATTGGAAAAAGGCTTCAACACTATGCCAACATATCGTGAAAACAAAGGACTTAGAAAGCACTTATTAGTAGACTGTATCTAATCTTTAAACGGCCGGCAACGCACTTGCAAGCCCTTTGGCAATGTGAGTGTCTATGGGCGGTCACTGTTCTATAAATCAAATGTAGATTTTATATTCGTAGAATTTTAAATATGTCAGGTCGTTTGTTAGAGTTTATTTTTGTCTCTGGTTTGACTTATTGGGACGGAACTTATTCCGAAGCCATCTGAAAAATTACTTGGAAATCTATTAAGGTACATTTTTATACACAATACTAGATCTCACCCAAAGATTCGGGTATCTCATCGAAACATTAATGTATGACATTTAAATTTAAAATAAACTTGTATTGAGGCTGAAGTTATTTGAGGCGTATTTAACTGACCATTAAGTTATCTTCGTCTATATAAAGAATATTAACCTTGAAGATAATATTAAAAAACACGGATTAAGTAATTAATATACTTAAGGCAATGAACTTGAGATAGAGCTAATGTTATATAAAACGAAACTTATTTCATATCTATCTTTATACGAAAAACTACGATTTAGTTAAAAAACAGCTCCCTGAAAACGGCAATAATTTGTATGAGGTGGTAAAGCGTACGACTTTGTCTATGAAGAATCATAAAGTAAATTGTGAATATGTACTTAATCTTTCGCAGCACGGGATTAGGCTTGTCATATGCCCTAATAAGCTATACGTTCTTGAAAAAATATTGTTTTTTTTTATTACTTACTAATAAAAATATCCCCGCAACTTGACTTATATTAGTTTAAAGAATAGTTCAAAACAGCTTTTGCTTTCCAAATAGCACTACAAATGCAACAAATGCAGCCTGGAAACATAATTTTAATAATAATTTAGAAAATTGTCAAATTGTAACAAAATTATTTGGTTTTTTATTAAAAAATCTGAAAAAGTGGCGGAATTAAAAAAAAACTTACAAAACTGTTGAACCCGGATGAGTGTCAAAAATTAATTAGATAGTTTATCGTTATTTAGTGAAAATATAGTTAAGGTCAAAAATCAGCCTACTTGTTATCTCGTCTGTCGCGCACGCTTTATTAAGGTTGTCACGTATAGCAATCCATTCAACGCCTATGCTTGTGAAGACCCTAAATAATTTAAAAAAAGGGTGCGTGTACTTATGTACGCGCGTAAGAAGTTATACTTCTTTGGCATTATTAAAAATAGTTTTTGATTGCACGCAAATAATTAATTACAATTAAATAATCAAATACTGGAAAAGGAGTCATTATAGTCAATAAAGTTCAGTTTACATTTGAAAAATTAAATAAATAAACATTTATTATTATTCTCTTACATTAAGTGTAACATAAATTCTATTATTATTCGAATGTTGTTTTTAAATTATGTCCAATGCCGTAGCATCTGCCGTGGGCAACTTCATTCTGTTAATTTTGTGTCACGGTATTTGCGCATCGTAAAATTTCACTCTCATCAATTTTTCATAACGCGCCTCATATTTTCATGAATATTCTGGTCTCTAACAAACGACTAATTCTACCCCCAGTTACCCAAAGTGTATTAATGTAATGTAGAAATACACAACAATATTTTAGAATTAAATAACCAACAAAGTGGTAATGTAATCTGTCTAATGACATTATTTACTGTTTATTTATTTATTTATAAAAGCTTGCCAACGCTCGGCACACTGATATATTGGTAGAAGAAAAATAAAATAAATTTTTTATTGCGATAATCACTTGTAGGCAAACATAACATAAAAAAGCAAAATATATAAAAACTAATGAAACATCGATTTCAAAGTGTGAAGCAACTACTAATATCCAGACTTAGCTCAAATAAAATTGAAGTCAAATTTCACCGTTGACAACCCTACAAATTCCACAGATACGTCACTCATCGACTGCGTGATCACTACCCCAAGCTACGTGTTAGATAACTTTTGCATTGTCGACGTGTCACGCGCGCTATGACGAGACATGTTCCGACATACGTCACCATCACAAGCGTCATTTCAGCTTAAGTGCTAATTTATACCATTTATATTCAGTAGTTTAACCAGCTTTCACAGCATTTAACTGCGTAATAGCATTGTCTCTGCGATAGACATTTTCAAATATTTTCCTGTCAAAAACGGTTTTAAGCTTTAAAAAAAGATTTTTAAGTCAACATCACCCATGTTAAAGCCGTTGCTAAGGGCAGTGCCATCTACTGACATAAAGTTATTTTGACAGAAGTTTGTGATTATTTAAGATTATATGACGATTTTTCAAAACGTAGAAATATGTAAAAGATTTTTTTTTTTTTGGCATAAATTGAACACGTGTTTTGCCTGTAAAATTGAACTTTAAATTGTAGGGTGAACGTGTAGATAGCCATATATGTCCATAATCATGTGTGTAGCACGCGTTTTATAACTATCATCATTTTGATAAAAACTCTCATTAATAGATCTGTGTGGGGTCAATAGTTCATGTAATAATTGGTTTTTTAATTGCTCACATTTCGCTCCATTTTGATAACGAAAGATCCGTCTCCAAAAAAACTATGCTCAAAAAGACACGACTAAATTATACTTTTATTACCCAGGTAACGGTAGAGGTATGTGGCATTCGATTAAGCCTAGGCACTCTGCTTCTCTGAGCTGCACTCACTAAAACCACTTAAGGGGCTTGGGGCAAAATCACTCTTCGACAGTCGTAACCTACTTCCGCAAACGAATTTGTATGAAAACGATCACGTGACAAAGCGTGAGCTAATGTCATTCCCTACAAATTCGTTTAGCTTTAGTGGGTCACGCCTGTCGAAAGGTGATTTTGTCTCAAGCCCCAGTAAGTCCAACATGCCATCAAAGAGGCCCTTGGAGTTACTTTCGGATTTTTACAGGACGATATGTTGTACCTAACTCACTTTAAAATCCAATTTTATTATTACTGACTAAAGTTTGAATACAAGATTGAGATTTCTCTTTCTCTAGCCAAGTAAAGTAACCTTTCAAAAGCTCATAATATTTAAACTGATAAGAGAATTGAGATGGAAGAGATGATGAGATTTTGGCTTTCCAAAATATATTCTATTAAAATTCCTTATAAAATTTTAATCGTTATGTATTGCTAATAAATTGAAGTACAATTACTCTAACTGTAATAGATAACAAATGATAAAAATCTGATTCTGAGCACGCGCTTACACATGGTAGTTGTGTGACCATATTTGACCCATATAATCTATCGGGCCAAATTTATATTGTATTTATTAAACTACTATTAGATAAAATTAAACATTTGTACTTATGATAATAATTGCCTATATTTTAACATAGTTAATAACTTTAAAAAATATATTATTTTGCGAAAAACATACAGTATAAAATAATAGGACTAACAGAAAAATTATAAAAATACTTGAACGCGTAAATTGTCTTAAAATATACTTCTTTACTTAAGTCTTAACTAATGAACGTTTTGATTATTTAAAATTATTTGGTTCAAAGTACATCTAAAAATATAAACAAAGTTCAAAAATGCTGAGTCTGTAAGAAATTCGCGTGTTCAAAAGTCCATAGTTCAGTAACAAGTGAATGTAGTAAATTAATTGTTACATCACAATACATGACCATTGCTAGGTTAAAATAAAAAGAGAATGTTATACGCGTATAACAATTAGCGCATCTGTGACCCGGTTTACAAAGGAATTTGTCTTTAGTGTTCTTATTAATTCCAGGAGAATAATCTTAGTCAGTTATGAACGTGGTAAACCAAACCATGGTTAATTTTTGTGCCAAATATATTTCACAATTAAAATAGTAAGGTCATAAGGTCTTTAGCTCAAATGTAGATTGCAAATTGAATAAATAAATCCTGGAATTTAATGCATTTTAACAATTTATCACTTATGAACGTCAATATTAAAAAAAGGAAGATTTAATTAGAAATTTGCATTTACTACCAGTTCCCAAATCAGAATCTGGTAAGAATCACTATTCCACTCTTTTAATCCCCAAGTTTTTGGTTTACTAGGAAATCGTAAGGATTCGCAACCATTGTCACCATGCTTTATTTGACATATCATAATAATAGAAGCACACACTTAAATTCTTATGGACTTGAACAATTTCTTATATTATATTGGGCTATTTGTAATCATAATTAATAATAATTCTATTTAAACATAAACAGTTTTAAGTAGATAAATTAGTTATTGTAACAAAAAAAAACCTTTAAACTTTTTTTTATTATTTTACAATATTTTTAGTAGTTTAAACCTTATTTTGATTGTTTTAACATTAAATCATTAAAATCAAACAATAAACTACCTATCAAGACACATGCCAGTCCAATATAAATAATGATTTGAAAAGAATATACTATAATCGTAGAGGACCTACGCGTCTGCGTAGAGCTGCAAGCGTAAGCGCTACGCCTCTTAGCCTATTAATTTTTTCTTATATTTGGGAATGTTTTACTAAGGGAACTGAAATTATAAAATAGCAAATTGGATCTTGAATGTGAAATATTGATATTCCACCCAATTCCGAATATATAATATAATTAGTGTAACTGTTAGATATTATAATATATATATTATCATATAATATATTACCATATAATATACAATCATAGATATAGTTATGTTTAATATATAATCCGATAATAAACAGTAATTAGATAATATAATCTCATGCTTCCTATTATGATATATTAGTATAAGATAAATACTATAATAATGCTTTTATTAGATAAGAATTAAGATAAGCACACTAGAGGTAATTATGAATAATATATTATTATTCTTATATTATCTATATGGAATAATAAGTCAAATTCTTAGCAATAATAATAATAATAATACAGATTAAATAAGCAGATTTTGACTTTATTTATAAATTTGCATATATTAAAAAATAACAATATGTTGTGTTTAGGTATTTAAAGTTCTTAATTACTATTAGTTTATATCTTTGTATATTCTCCAATATTGAATGAAACGAGAGTTTCTTATAATATCTTAAACACTCATATTTTTACCTTCAACTGGAAATATAATCTTCTGCTCAGTTCTGCCATAATAATCATCAAATTCTGGTGGTTTATCAGTACCATGACTTAACGTCTGGCCCTGGGCAACCGGCATCGGCAGACTATTCACCGGCACAGCCACAGCTGGCTTCTTACTTAGCCTCAGTTTCTTGAGAATCTGTTGCTTGATGAACTGGATCCTCGCCTCCGTCAGTTCAGTGATACTTAGGTCCCCTTTCGCACAGTTCCCACACGTCCCCATCTCCCCCCACGTTATGCTTAAGCTGACTAGAACAAAAAACACGGTTGCACGGTTCATCGCGGCAATTTCCTTCGTCTAAGACAATTGAAATATGAAAGAAGATCTAGAAACATGCGTGCGGTGTAACGTACGGTACGCGACTGAACGCGCTCGCGCACTCTGCGTATATATATACAGTTACAGATTTTCCCAAGTCCAAAGGGGTGTTCCGTAAAATTTAACGATAAGAACATTCTTCTTAGCTTGAGGTCACAGATAGTAAGTACAGCTCATGGACAATGGACTGTAGATACCAGAACAAATTATTTAGCTGCGTTGTTTTGTTTTATTGACCTGAGAGGTAATACGATTTAATTAGTTTAGCGGTAAGAGGTCGCTAGAAATTTATGATTCTGTTGCTAAATCAATAACTTACACGTTACCGCGAGGAAGTATGATGCAATTTTTTTGTAAATTGATTGATTAACTACATGTCAGATTACATTAACTAAACTTTTTAATCGAATATATCTTCACTTTGATATCAAAAAAGCCTTATTTTGGAGATTTAGAGTTTACAGGTTATATACTGCCAATTCAATAAACTAAAAAATAGGTTCTTCGTTTGTCCGGATTAAAAATAATACAAAAATATTCCCAACCCGAAAATACATGTGTTTTTATATAAAGATATGCAAAGGCCAAAGAGAGACCCAGTTCCTGGCTATTGCCTCCTAAATTTCGCTGTTCATTAACCTAAGATAAAAGTTCAAATTGTTGCGAAGTTAATAAAACATAAGAAAGTTATTAATTATTATCATCACATGACAACGTGTAAGACTGTTATGACCAGGCACAATTTTAACGTCACGCACTGGGACCTTGAATTTGTAAGTCGCAAAAATCATTTATTTATTTCCACATAAAAAGTCTACCTTATACTAATGCGATAGAACGACACAATAATACTTACACCGATAATCCTACAATTAAAAAACATTAAAAAATCTAATATATAAAATTCTCGTGTCACAATTCATTGTCAAAATTCGTTCCGATACTCCTCCGATACGGCTCGACCGATTGTTATGAAATTTTTTATGCATATTTAGTAAGTCTGAGAATCGGCTACTATCTTTATATATTTATTATATTTATATCTATCTTTCAAACCCCTAAGTGATAAGGGGTGTTCACCCCAAACAATTTTTTTTTAATTTTTTAGACAAAATTTTTTGTTGTTATTTTTTTATGATACAGCATACAAAAATACATACAACTCTTATTATATATTAGGTCCTTACATATGAAATTGGCGTATTTCGAACTGGCCACTTTAATAACGATGTTCTCCTCTTTGGTAAGGAATTCCAAATTCAAATTTGTACAGCTATTAACTCTTGTATTTGTGCTTCGATGACCGTCATTCCTTTGTTTTTTTCTGTTTGCGTCACTCATTTTACAAAATGGAAAACTTAAAGTATCGCATTATTTACGAGTACGAGTTCCGCCGTGGCACTAGTGCTGCGGAAACGACTCGAAGGGTGAATGATGTGTATGGCGGTCATGTTGCAAAAGAAAACACAGTTCGTTTTTGGTTCCAACGTTTTCGTTCTGGAAATTTCGACCTGCAGAACAAGCCCCATGGACGGCCTGAGACCCAAGTTGATAATGAAGTATTGAAGGCTATTGCGGATCCATCGAAAACCACGTCCGAGTTAGCTGCAGGCTGCGGTGTTAGTGATAAAACTATTTTAATTCAATTGAAGCAAATTGGGAAGAAAAAAAAGCTTGAAAGATGGGTACCTCACGAATTGACTGAAGCAAACCGGAAAATGCGCGTCGACTGCTGCGTTACATTACTGAACCGGCACAATAATGAAGGTATTTTACCCGAATCATTATCTGTGATGAAAAATGGATTCTTTACGATAATCGGAAGCGCTCAGCGCAATGGTTGGATCCTGGCCAGCCAGCCAAATCCTGCCCCAAGCGAAAATTAACCCCAAAAAAGTTACTTGTAAGCCTTTGGTGGACTAGTGCCGGTATTGTTCATTGCAGTTTTCTCAAATCTGGCCACACTATTACGGCTGATGTTTATTGTCAGCAATTGCAAACCATGACGGAAAAGCTAGCGGCCTAGGATGTTTATCCTAGGCTGGTCAATGCACTATGGCTCCACGCCACTGCTACTTCACGACAACGCTAGACCACACACTGCACAACAGACGGCTACCAAATTAGAAGAGCTTCAATTGGAATGTCTAAGACATCCTCTGTATTCCCCGGACCTTGCTCCAACAGATTACCATTTTTTTTCGAAATTTGGACAACTTATTGCAAGGGAAAAAATTTAACTCTGATGGGGCAGTCCAAATCGCCTTCACAGATTTTATTGATTCCCGTCCGACTGGTTTTTTTAGTAAAGGGATAAATGAACTACCTATGAGATGGCAAAAGTGCATAGAAATCAATGGTTCATACTTTGATGAATTAAATATTATATTATATTTAAAAATATTCGACTTTTTTTCCTCCCATACAAAACGCCAATTTCATATGTAAGGACCTAATATTTTCTACTCTACGATTAACCCCTATTTTTTATTTGTTAGTTAAGAACTTATAACTTGAACTCTGAGGTCTATATAGAGAAAAAACACAGTTTTCATTCCGGAAAACCGAACAGTATCTGGGGTAGCGTAACATTAATCTATATACAGGGTGGTCAAAGAGTCGTGGATCAAACGCAAATAGGGGATAGATGAGGTCATCAGCTGCCAAAAATTGTTCTACGGGAGGTCTCTAAGATCAACCCCTGCAGAGTTATAATTTATTTTGCGTTTCTATAAAAAAATTGACTTTTTTTTACTAATTCTTATTAAAATTCGAAAATATCTAAATCCTTTATGTTTTTCATAATACGAGAGATTGGTACTGATGAATTCTTGCGTTAGACATACTATTTATAGTTGATTATTGAGTGTATTGAAGATAATATTAAAGTATACGATATAATTTTTTTTATCAAATCATAACTTTTTGTTTACTTCGCACCCCACTGTGAAAAAAAATTACTCTACCGAAAAGTGACTTGACCGTATTCAACGAAGAGCGATCCGAGTCGTCGACGACCAGTCACTTTCCGTGCGGCTGGATCCCTTGGAGTTGCGTAGAGATGTGAGGTCTCTCTGCATCTTCCACCGCATTTACCATGGAGAGTGTTCAGAGGAGTTGTTCGGTCTAATACCTGCAGCTGAGGTTCATTATCGGACGTCAAGGCACACTGAGCGTTTTCTAAGGCAGTTTTTGCGCGCGCGCACCACCACTATGAGGAACCAGCTGCCCACTGAATTATTTTCGAACCAATTCGACTTAGGGTTCTTCAAGAAAAGAGCGTACCAATTCTTGAAAGGCCGGCAACGCACTTGCGAGTTTTCTGGAAAAGTGAGTGTCCATGGGCAGCGATATCACTCAACATCAGGTGAGCCTCCTGCCTGTTTGCCCCCTGTTCTATAAAAAAAATGTACCTACTCAAAATTATTTGTCTTGGGGATGGTAGAGTACAAAAAATAAGAAACAGAACGGGATTTGCAGTTGGTCTATTACATATATGAATTTCACCTTTAATAGTATATTTCATTACAAGTGCGGAAAGCCTGTCATTGCAAAGAGTTTCGACAAATGTCTACCCGAGCCGAGGCGCAGCCGAAGGTGAGGGTTGACAGTCGGAACAAGTTGCAATGACGGTTCCGCACGTGTACTGAACAACTATTTTTAATACAGTTGCGAAAAAATTATGCAATTTAATAAAATAATAAAAAAACAATAAACTCAACTCACTAATCATTTATTTCTTATACAAATTATTGTTCACATATACATTGGTACAGTTTTTTATACTAACTGGAGAAGTTTTAGGTTGCATATTTATTTACTGTTTGAGACAAACTATTATTTATTTCGTATGATTTTTCATGTATATTTAATATATAATATAACAAACAACTAAACGCGCAAAGAACATTTTTGTAAAATGGCGCCAACCGTAAAAGAATATAAGCAGATATTTTTTTCTTCTTCACCCATTCTGGGTAGGCAAAGGGAACTATGCCCATCATAAAAATTTCTATGATTTTTTTTTAATAAAAACTTTGTGGTTGGTTTTTTCTTTTTAATAGACATTATTTTGACAGTTGGGAGAGAAAACGCACTAGTTCGGAAAAGGTAAAGAAAAAGCACGAGTGTGTAATAGCCCACATCCCGAACGCTATACGTCCCTGCAATACGCCACTTTTTGAGCAACTGTATTAAAAAATATTATATGATATTCTGGCGATAGCAAAAAACAGAAAATTGTGGACTGCCTTGGAAAAGGCGACCACCTGAGGTGGGTCCATACAAATGCGTTAATGTTTGTGTGTTTGTATTTTGACAGAATAAAATCGAACTATGTTATTATTATTAAATGCTATGCTAATAAAAGGTGTAAATTAACTCCAGTCATAGCATTAGATATAACACTTATTATATCTAACTTATCTACTTTGCACTAAACGGAAAATCTGCTAGATGTATGAAAATAATTTTCACATATGTTCTCAGGCGGGTGCCTGACACATACCCACACACACCCTGCTAACACTCACTCACACACACGTACATACCCTCTCCCTCTATCACACACACACACACCCATACAACTTTATTACTACTAACTTCTAACTAGTAGACTGTTTTGTTTTTCTTTCCTTATTTAAAATGTTAAATTTGTTTGCCTACCCATATTGTATGTACTTTTTGTTACCACTCAATATGACTGCTGTGGAATGGAAGTATGGTTATGCATATCACAGGATCTTACCTAGTTTGGAAACTAGTCTTCCACTACCTTATCATCTGTAATGTGACTGTCTTATTGTTTGTTGCAAATATTATATGGGAGAAAATAAATTATTATTATTATTAATATATTCCTAAAAACCGAATACGGTCGCAAAAATATCCGACCCGTTTCGAATACGCCTGCGTAGTTTTTTGAGAAATGGACTTTGATGCAATGACAGCGTACGACGCGA